TTAGGGCAATTATAAGGTACAATACATGTAATGTACCCTCCTTAAAATATGAAAAGAAAAAAGAAATTACCCACTCTAGTGGAACTAGTTTTAAATAACTTGTCATTCATTTGATATGCACTCCTTGACACTAACACTGTAACAAGCATCTGGAAAACCTAAATTCTATTAGTCCGGACCCAAATGAAGTCCGTATTTTATATCTAGGGCTCCTGCATACAAACAGTAAAAATAAAACAATCCAAATCCTTCCAAAAAGTTATTGTCATATGAAATAAATTGTTGTCAACTACATCAAATTTCAATCACTTGTCAGATACAGATTTAATAAATAACTAAGGAGCAAAGTCTTAGTTCAAAGAACCAACTCGCACATTCTACATGTATACTGCAATCAGAGTTAGGCATTATAAACAAATCACATGGGTGTGTGATAATGGTGTTTCTTTTAGAGTACTACTGATAGTTGATGTACCTCGTTATAGATGATGAATTAATGCACTTTGAGACGGCACTCCTCCCTTTAGTTAATCAATAAACAACTCCAGCGTATTAATGCAGTTTGGGAACCCTTATCATGCGAGCCTGATAAATATAGCCATGATGACAAGCCTACAGTGTAGTGTGCTTTCAGGCTGAACATCATTGATTCGTCTGGGAAAAATCCGGACATGAATGCATGCAATTGACATTAAAGTAAAGTTCTCTGATTTAATTTATTCAAATGTGCATGTACATACTGTATACACACAAAGTTGAGTACATTTGTTGTATATGATGCACGCAAGTATAAAATCAACTGCCCTTCTAGTACGGCGTAATAAAGAAGATAGGGCAATCATGATTAAAGAAATTCATATAAAACCGAGTAACTGTCAGCTGTTAATTTTAAGAATATAAACAATGTTTGATAGTCAGATGCTTCTCCGTTTTCTCTAGGGTGCAGTTACATGTGTAGCTTGTCTTTGTTTACTTTGAAGTGGTTTATATTAAAAGGGTCTTGCTAACATCATTCAGAAGAGAGAAAATGGTGCTAAGGCAGTGACATCAGACCATTATTAATGATAAAAATTGGGGAAAAAATGATCAGATCAATTCCTTAATTCTCCCAACTATACCATTCCAAACATTTAAGTGTTGACAGATTTTTAAAAGCCTGTTTTATGTCTTATTATCATGGAAAATGGTTGGGAAAATTCAAAATTGGTTGCGAGAATTTACTGTTAGAGGGTGTCGCACAGTGACGCCCTCAAAAACCATAAATATCTTTGTGGTTTGATAATTTGTTCAGGATTTTCTGCATGTTAGAGGGATAGTACAGTAGAAGGAATATAATAAATAACATTTCATACCAAAATTACACAGTTTTTCCATCAACCTTCAACAATGTTATTGGTTCACTTTAATATCTCTGTCTCTTCCACTCTTTCAGTCTGTGATTCAGTGAGAATTGTGTTTAGCAACCGTTTCATCCTTCCTAAATGTTGTTTGAGTCAGGTCATTGGTATCATGCCCTAGTCTGGCATGTCATGCAGGAGATCTTTTATTTTGTCTCTATTCTGAGCATTAAAATGAAATCCATAGATCAATTCTCAAAATACGAATTTTTGATTTAAAAAAAATCTACTTTAATACTCTTACTGTACACACATGGATAAATGTTATAAAATCAAACCATTCTGACACAAGAAATTCAAAAGGTGCAAACTCCATCTATTTGTATATTGTAACCATTTAGTTATGATTGATCGAAAGTCTGTTCAACCTTTCCCCCACATGTTACCATGTTTTGTAAATTCTGTGGTTACAGGTCTGCCACTCAATCTGTGTGGGCTACACCCAATTATCCTGGGATTTGTAAAGTGAAACTCATCAGTCAACATGTTCAACCCCTGAGGTGGTCTGCTGAAATGGAGTCAGTTACTAAATATAGAACAGAGGGTAACCCCAGTCAACCTCAAAGGGTGACCGTGGAAACTGATCTTAGTAACTGCATTTTGATGAGTCCAGCTGTTTTCCTGGTTCTTTGATGGAGAAAAGAAAGGAATTTGTAATAAATGGGAAGTTTCATGAAGTTTGCCTTGAGTTTCTTGGAAGCAGAAAAATGATAGAAATAACATACCTAAACAATGTACAATGTGCATGTAGGCCTAATATTGGCCATACATGTACCAGTACATGTATACTTTACAGTGTACATGTACTGGATGTAATACTGTGATGTGAAAATTTGAGACAAAGTTGGCAAAATAATGTGACTTTTAATGACAAATCACTCATGAATACATGCACATAAACCTACAAGTACATGTAGTCATGATGTGTCTCAGTGTCTTTCACTAATAATATTGTCATTATTATGACAATGTGGTTTAGATATTGAATAGACATATTTAACGAGGGGATAGGCCTATCGGAGAATGTGGTTTTAGAGGTGTTTTTGATAATGTTCACCATAATGCTTTACAATGACAATGACAACCTATTCCAATTGGAATCATCACCCGTTTTTTTGAAATTATATTTTTGAAGCTCCTATCATCAAGTTCAAGGCAATAAATTAAAAATAAAATTAATAAGTAAAAACCTTGGAAAAATCATGTACATTTTAGATCAGTGCAAAGAAGATCTGTTCAACATACCGGTATGTACAAGTACTGTAGAGCCTCTGACACAGCAATTACCTGTATATTGGCTTTGAAAATCAACATCATAATTGTTAGTGTGTATGAACACACACATCTCTCTATAAAAACAAATTTCTTTGTACAATAAACTTTAAAGACTGTAAAATATCAACTTAATGGTAGTTGGATCTCTCAATTCCCTATTATTAGAAATGATATTTGGATTATGTAAGATATCCCTAAAATGTCGGCACATTTCAATAGCTCAGGGCTCTTGAAATTGCCCATTAAAAGGTATTTGCATGTGCCCTACATATATAATTATATATATACAGTGTACAGAATTTTCTAGTGTGAATGCCCCTTTAACACTACAACAATTCTTCACTACCTTTTCCTTTTTTCAAGTACAGTATGTACATGTACTGTATATGTATACATTTTCTCGAGTGTAAATGCACCATACAGCGTAGGACTTGCATGTACTGTACTGTAGGAATCTATGGCAGCAATGTCAATATTATGATAGAGGAGAAATCAAATATGGTTTGTAGGGCTAGGGTATCCTGCTCCATCTTGCATTGCCCTATGGTGTACATGTACCTACTAGCCTCTTGAATGAAAACACCTGCAATAACCCTATACCTGAAGGCATTGTGAACAGTTTGTTGCAGATCGCAAACTTTTTTTCAAATTATAGGGATCGAGTGAATATACAAATGTAGAAAGATTCCACAAAATCTTGAACCCGAGAAGAAAATTTGGAGCCCTTACACTTTTACGGCATTGAAGAAAAAAAATCATGGGAGCAATGAGCAATGTCACCTTCTGAGTGACTCAACCGCAAAGATGGCTCCATGTGCGAAAGGGTAGCATACAAGATGAAGAAAGCTTCAGAAGAGAGTAAAACAAAAGAAAACATTATGTTACAGAATATCACTCTGGAAATACTCCACATGAACATCAAAGAATTATATATACGACCAATTATGTACTTGTACAACTGTACTGTAGCTCTGTCAACAAAATTTTTATTTTCATTTTAAAACTGCAAGGGAGATTTACATGTAAGTCACATTTCACAGAAAGCTACTGATTTTTGGCTAATCAAGTATTAAATAATAAATTATTAATGAAAGAAATACACAATCGAATAAATGAATATAAAAAATAAAATGAAAGTCAATTTACATGCTGACTGCTGAGCATCCTATACTACACATGTAGGTTCAAATCAAGCAAATGGGACCTCTAAAGAGCCAGAAATGCAACAGTTTTACTTGTCAAATTCTAAATCCCCCCTCCCAGACTCTCCCCGACTCTCCCCCTGCTCCTCCACTCCTCTCCCTCACAATTATTGTATCTAACCCTTTTTTTTTAGATTCAAAGGTTGGCACACGTATGAAATTATAAAAAATCCATGACAAATGCTTCTTTGACTATTGCTCCCTGGAGTTGTTTTGTAACATGAGACACATTCCTAACCCCAACTTTCGACACCATGTCACCAGGCCTGGAGTAAATGTCGGATTATCAAATACTCATTTCAATACCTGGGTTTTGCCTCTCGAACTGGGCCTTAGGAAACATGGTTGATCTGTGTATTTTCATTCTACAGTGGTGGTGTCAAAAGATGAAAGGGAGGCTCTAGTATTACTCCCATCTGGAATTTAAAGAGATAGTTGAGTTAGTTCTGGTAAAAGTGAAAAATAATTGTTGAACTTTCCTAATCTTTTTACATCAATTTACAAGTGTAATGTTCAATCTCCTGAAAGCTACCGGTATTTATAGAGATGTAATAATTTCTCCTCATTTAAATTTGTGCCCACTTCGCAATGACAAAACCATCTGTTCGTCGTAGTCATGATCACATATTTTCTCCTCTCTTTCTGTTGATTGTTGCAGGGCGTTACCTAAAAATACTTTTATGTGTACATGTACATGTACATGTACAGTGTACGTTCCGCAGAATCAAACCATTCTGTTCTACAATGGTGCATTGCATAATTTATTGATTTCATTAATTGTTCATTTTCCTCTTAAGTGCAATAGATCTATATATGCCCACTTCAGAGTGATGAATCAGTTTGTCAGCATCATCATGATCAAATATATATTTTTTTGTTTGTTGACTGTTCCAGGGCCTTGTCAAGAAATATGTCCCGGAGAACAGAACTCTGTTTGTACAAACTGTAGGCAAAAACATTTAATCTACAATAGCAGTTTGCATCATCATATACATTTCATTTTATATTCTACTTAAAAGTAGTGATATGTTGTTTATTATACTGTAGAATAACTAACAAATAAATAGTTCTTCCTCAAAATCTATGATAATATTTTCTCGCTCTCTCTTTTCGTTCACTGTTCCAGGGCCTTACAGAGAAATATGTCCCAGAGAATAGAACCGTGTTTGTGGGTAACAAGCCCCCACCCGTCGAAGATGAAGCCTACATTCCACAAGACTTTCCTGACAACACTGTTGTCTCTTCAAAGGTAACGTATTCACCTATACAAAAATATGTATTTCAAGAGAGTATTCAAATGAAAAACTTTAAAAAAAGAAGACACTTTCATCATTTGTGTTGAAAAAAGTGGGAAAGTTGTCTGGAAACAGGTAGTGCCAGGTGGTTCTATTACGCAGGAATGAGAGAATACATAAGTCAACATCATATTTCATATGTGTGTTTGTAGACAAGGACACTAAAATAAACATCAGGCTTCTATAAATATTGGACTGATATTTACTTGGAGAGAAGGGGGAAAAAAGGGTGCAATTTTCATTACTTCGTTGTATTCTGGTGGTCTACTAATTTCATGTTCATGCTGCACTGCTGTTGCTCTGTGGCTAATTTTGTTTTCAGACACTGCTCTTTCTTTTGAACACTAATCAACCTCATTAGAAGCACCTGCCTCCTTTCAAACATAATTACGTAACACAGTATTTATATGATCATCAAGGGGGAAGGGTGACCTTTTACTATTAAACAAAGAAAGAAAGGTTTATAGAACACCCTCATGCCAAGAAATGTATTGAAGAAATGGTGGTAATAATGGCCAGGATGCAATACAATTAATGAAAAAAATGTATTTGTACCAGTATACTACATGTACATATACTGTACACATGTACAGAATATCAGCAAAGCGCTTAGAAATACTGATACTTAAATCTCATGTCATACACTGTAGTATCGATGGAAGATGCAGTATACTATAGTGATCTCACATCACCATGGCAACTGCTTCTCTGAGAACTCGTTATAACCATGTGCATGCATTTAATAGGAGACAGATACATGTAGGCCTATTGTACATGTACAGTGCAATACCGATCTGATAAAGAATAAAACTCAAGCACTTTTTTGCAGGCCTTGCTTTCAAAGTAGCGGTATAAAGCAAGATTCTATGATTTCACATAAAAAATACCTGTTTAATAATGTTATGCATGCTCCTTGGACAAAAGTTTCTCTCGATAATTCAGGAAATGTCAGAGGCTTGCCAGTCATAGCAACAGTTAATGCAATCACAGTGGATTCCACCTACAGAGATGCCATCATATATTCTGTACATGTAGCATGTAAAAAAGAAACATGATGTATATTTTAATTGATTTTAAATTGTAAATTATTGTTACTACTATTATTATTGTTATCATTATTTCTATTTTTATTATTATTATTGTTATTATTATTATCATCATCATTATCATTATCATTATCGATATCATTGTCATTGTTATATTGAAATCCATTAGTAAACACGTTAATTGATGTGCCTCTCTTTTTACATTAAAATAATTAACCACAAAAAGCCAAAACAAAAACGAAAGAAGTAAATAATAATAGATTTAAAAAAAGATAATACTCCATTTGCCTGAGAGAAAGCCCCTCTACAATATTCTTTGTATTTAACATATAACATTTTACAAATAGCCCAAGGCATGTACGTGTAGTACATTATTGCTGATCAAGATCGAGGGTCTTTTCTATCACAAAAGCTTGCTTCACATCTCACTGATTAATCTCTTGTTTTCAAAATGGACAATATCACAAAAGAGTGATGGTACATCAGTTGATAAATGAGAAATACTGCCATTCATCTCTCTCTCTCTGTTTCTGAGTAAACAAATTGCTTTTAATTTAGTTTGACTGTGGAGGCATGCACTGTGCAATAATCGTGATTGATGATTATCTAGCAAAGAAAAAACATATATCTCTCTTTGAATTACGTATAAAGACGTGTATTCTCTGCATGCACTCATTAACGAACATACCTATTTATACTTTGCGATGTTGCTAAGCAACGCAGTGTTCTTGCTGGAAAAGCGTGATGCAATTCGCAATTGTACAGAGAAAAAAAGGCTGATTATCTAAAAGCAAAAAGTGATGCCTAGATTTTTGTCTCCCCATGTATATTTTAATTTATTTTTTATTTGCCTGCCTACCCTTTTAATTTATTTGACATATGAATTGATTGTTAGTCATGATAAAGCTCCCCCTCTCATTCTGTATTCTTATAAATGTGACATTCATACATTTATGGAGAAAAAAAAGAAAGAAAAATATTACCCCTTAAACAATAGAACAGACTGCTATAGTGACCACCTGTATAGGAAGACCACCTACATGTACATGTATCTATAAATATGTTTCTAATTGAAACACAATCAGTAACCTGTAACTTGAAGGGATCCGGTAACTTTGTCTCAGATTCTGAAACAAAATTCTGGATTTAGCTCATGATACAATAATAATTATAAACTTTTAGGTCAGTCAGGAACCCCATGACTTTTACAAGCCGATCGCCTGTCTGATTATCAAGATATTTATGATTGGAATTACAAATTTTGAAAACCGTTCGCCTGACGGTTTTCATAACACTACAGTCTATTGGGAAAAACGAGTATGGTAAAACCGGTCACTCAAAGATTTTTACTTTTTTGAGGGACTTCTTGATCATTTTGAAGCGCAATTTTTTTTTGGCTTCAATATTACACCATATCACAGACACTGCTAGTACGTAGGGCCGTGTATCTCAGATTTAACATTGTTAAACGATCCCTTTAAGCCCGCCTGCTTACATTAAAGAAATACATGACATTCTTTGCTTCCCTGTGTAATCTTTATATACAGGTTTCACTGTTAGATCAGTGTATACTATTTCCCATGAGTTAACTCCCTTCATACTCCCATGTACATCCATAAAATTAATTGTATTTTGGCTGTTATTGCATAAAGGCTCGTTCAATGCATCCCTAAACCGCGTAGTACACCTCATATTTCTGAATCTTATAACGGAGAGCTCATTGAATGCATGAATAACTTGTTGCATATAGTTGCAATTCACCACAAAAAATGCTGCAGGTTTACCCAGCAAATCTGTGAAAGAGCCTTGAGAAAGACCTGTCTTTACACTGTATGTTTCTTCTCAAAGGTATAACTCATTGAAACCTGTATGAAAGCAACCCTGTATGAAAGCAACCTGATCATAAATGACCACATTCCTTCCATTTTTTTTTGGTTTCCTTTGCATGGTCTGGTATATTCCCCTTGAGTTAATCCCCTTCTTCTTAATTCTTTTTCTTCTTCTTCTTCTGATTAAGTCTGCCTCCTTCAAATTGACTGAAGATTCTTGCAAACTATGTGCGTTTGTGTGTGAACCGTAATTTACGTCCATTCGAGTACTATTTACATTATAATACAGTTTATATATACAAATATTTACAAGCTCATGCAACATCAAACATTGAACATCCATGTATTCATTTAATTATATCTTTAATAGTTTTGAACTTTCTTGTTTTTAAATAATCAATGAGTGTTTTTTCTCTCACTTTTTCTCTTGCAGTACACAGCACTCAACTTCTTCCCTAAAAACCTGTTTGAGCAGTTCAGGAGAATCGCTAACTTCTACTTTCTCTGTGTGGCAGTATTACAGGTAAATTGTTTGTAAAAGAAGCAAGTTTGTATACAGTTTGCATTTATTTATTTATTTTTGTGCATTTATCTAAAATCTGTGTGCAGCGCTTTGTAACTGCAAGGAAAAGGCGCTATATCAAATATTTTTTGGATTGGATTGGATTGGATGCACCTCAAGAACAACTAAAAGTTGTACTGTTTGATTTTCAGGAGAGTTTGATCATTGTGTACTAGTATTTAGTCAGCATGGTCAATTTTGTTGAGTTTACTTTCTGCATCTACATGTATGTATTTGGTGTACCTACATGTACAGTGTATGTTCACATATTTCATGGCACCGTTTTAACCAATATGGTTAAAACTTTAAAACAATAGACATCTTGTAATTAGAATTAATAGATTTTCATTCTCTTCCTTTTTTAACAGTACAGGTACATAAATGTCTGTAATTGATCAAATGTGCATGTACAGTGTACTTGTTTTAATTTCAAAGCTAATGAAAACCTCGGATTTACAAGCTAAGAAAGATAAAATATAGAATTATCTGTGAAGTAATGCCTTCTTCTATACATGGACAGTGTACAAAGGTACTGTAGACGGCATGTGTTGTACGCCTTCCAGTGCACCGCCTATTTGCACATCCGCCCGCTGAAAGCTCCTTATTACTGATCAAGTGGAGTTAATTATTAAACTGAAGTGTCGATATACACTCATAATTATGCATACAGTATGATGTCATTCAGAACGTTAGCTTTGTGACTGATATGTAGGTGTGTCCACTCTGCAACAAAGCAGAGTCTGTGATGATTTTAAGAATATAGTAATTATTATCATTAGGGCAATTCCTTAGAACATACCTCTCTTCCATGTACATTCATCCACAAATTAACTTTTTTAATGATATGACCATTTCCTATTGCTAGTGAGAGTGATACCAAAAGATCTTTTTTAAGGATTTGGATGAAATGAATGGATAAAATGGTATGTTTCACAGGACACACGGCACAAAATTGTCCATTATTGCAGGCTACTGGTATCCTGAACAAGTTAGTTAGCTACTTTAGGACGAGTTACAATGTAACACATATTTTCTCAATGTATAGTATTCTTTTATAATAGTAAAATTTGGGTGAGGGTAGTACATTAGTGGCAGCATTACAAATGACCTACACCTATAAATTGTTAATACATCTACAGTGAGTAATTGTCTTAGGCTATTCAGAAACTGAAATCAGTTAATGCTCATATGAAGCAAATGACTATGGACTTTAGCCTACAATATTGTTAGCCTACAGTGTACCTTCTTGTATAATTACAGTGAGTGCTGGCCATCCTAAGTTTGAGTGTTTTGAACATAAACCCTGTTCAGTATGGAAGAGACATAATGTGTAAATCCAGGCATTTTGTTTTAAAAGTGTACCAATCAACCAAAAATGTTTTGTTTTGTCTATACATGTACATGTATACATATTTGCTAGAATTTTTTTTCTTCAAGTTTAAACATGCTCTCAATCAAGCTAAAACGGACTTTTGGGACTGTAGATGACTTGACACCTCCATTAATGGTCTCATACAGTAGAGCCCCCATAGAACCCAAGTGTACAGTTTCTGGATTAGATGTTAGGTTATGTTTAGGTTTAAGGTGAGGTATAGTGTTACAATTTTCAATTTCATTTCAGTTTTATTCCACAATTTGAAAAAACATAACTGTATGAACTATGTATCAAACATTCATACATACAATAATGATGCTACATGTAGGTTAAAGTTTGGAATGAGTTGGGTCTGTTTCGGTGCATGTTTGCCAAAGGATAACTGTGCTGTTGATAGCAAAACCATAGACATTCATACAGGATGCAGGAAACAATAAAAGAGGCAATTACTGTACTCCCCATTTCAAAGCTAGACCCAACAAGATAGACTAACACTAACCCCTGGGTCTAACCTAAACCTGATTGCAACCCTAACCATAACCCTAACCATAACCCTACATACCTGCCAACCCTCCCGAATAATCCAGAATATCCTGTTTTTCTGGATTTTTAGGACCCCAAAATGCGGGAGATTCCGGATTTTCAAAATTTTGATTTTTTGTTTGTTTTTTGTTTGTTGCTTAAGCCAAATTAAGCTTGTTTTATCATATGCCGCGATGTGAGAGTTCACGTATTGCATACGTTGAAGGGCTGCATGATTGAGCAGTGAATTTGTATTCGCCTTTTTGCACAGATTTACCGCGTATTGCCAGTTACACTGCCGCTGCATGTGCGAACGCCTGTTAAGGGTACAGATTTCTTATTTTCTAAGACATACCGTGCTAAAAATTCTTTAATCTCATTTTCAAATGTTGGCAGGTATGACCCTAACCCTATTTCTTTGACAAACCATTAGTCACTGGCCCGAGTGTTGGAACCCTTGTACAGTGTACTCAAATGTCAAGCATTAGCATTGGACTTCTTCGATATCTGATGAAAGACAGTTTAAAGAATGTTTTATTTATAGCTTTTGATTATGTTTTCTATATTTTTGTTTCAAAAGCTGGATGTATTTCAGTTGAAAATGACATAGAGAATAGTTTGCTAAAGGTCAGTCGTGCTATATACATTGTATGTACACTGTAGATAGCGAAACCATAAAGACAAACAGGATACAGGAAACAATAGAAGCTACGATGTAAACTAGACTTCCCATCCTTGCATTGTTGGCTCATTAGTTTACATGTACACTTAAAGGTAATACAAAGTTTTGGGAAATTTTGAAAATTGGGTGGATAGTGATTCTTTACAATTTTGATATATTTGGATGCCCCTGTGGATGAATTATAAGCACTTGAAAATTTAGCCCCTAAAACACTTCTGCTTTCGAGAAAAATTGAATATAAAAATTTACCGGTGCTCCCGGTAAATTTTGATAAATTTCAAATAGCGCCTACGGCCGTACAATGATAGCTGCGACAATGAAAATCTCAGAATGTGTAGTTGTGATATATAATTTCCAAACGGCAATATTTTGATCTTGAGAGGGAGCTATACAACATAAAGAGTTTATTATTTCCAATTTCATAACTTTAGACTCGATTTCAACCGCGACGACGATCACTGAATATTGTAGGATCGCATATGCTTCCAATATGTTCATTTGAACCAAATTCATGACCCCATACCAAAACTTTGTTACCTTTAATACAGTGATCATGATGAAGGTCATAATCATATGATCTATTTCAAGCCAGAAGGCCATTACTGTACACATAGCTCAGAGTATTTGTGGTGCAGCCAATCTTTGTTCCTTTCTGAATTATTTCTATTTACTTGTGTCTGTGATAAAACATTCACAATGAAGTAGAGTAGAGAAACAGAAACAGAAAGAGAGAGAGAGAGAGGGGGGAGGGAGAGAATGGGGGAGGGAGAGAGGGGGAAGAGTGAGAGAAGGGGAAGAGCAAGAGAAAGAGAAACAGAGAGAGAAGGAGAGAGAAAGAAGGGGGAGAGAGAGAGAGGAAGATAGAAACAAGGCGCATTTATACTGTCAAATACCTCATTTTGAAAAGTCGCGATGTTTCGTGTACCCGGTTACACTTGTGCTGAAACATCACCGACGGAGCTGTTCAGCGATGTTTTGGCGTGTTTCGGTTGGTAATGCGCATGTGCAGTCTTCCCGACCTTTGACCCCGGCCTGCTATAAGATTTTTAGCGCGCGCAATTTCCAGCTAGCGCTATAGCTAGCTAAATAGCGATACATCCCATGCGCATGCATGCGATATGTTTTGTTTATCTCGCGTGTAGTATTTGAGGCAAGAGTGGATAAGTTACGAAGTACGGACTACGGCTGCTGATTCAGTTTTCCCAAATTCAATCGAAATCTAGTAGTAAAAACGATATGGGAAGGTTAAGAAAATCATTGTTGTTAATTGTTAATTTCATGCTTTCACTCATTTCTCTGAAGCCCTTTTCCCCACGTTTGCAGGGACGCTTGGAAGTCTGGTGGAGGAGCTCTCCCTGCCTCCACATCGAAATCAAGAACTTCATCTCATCATCAGTCCAATGGGAATTGTTCACTTCCATATTAATTAATCTAACAAAACACTCAAATACTACTACTAGACAGATATGGCCAGACGGGAATAACGAAGATTGAATAAAGGATGAGTTAACGGAATGGGAACAAACGGAGCTGAATGAACGGATAACACGCGCGACGATGGAAATGCTATAAATATCACACGGGAAGAACGTGGTTTAAAAGAGCGCGGGTAACAATCCGGAAGTGCCGGAAGTCACGTGCCTAACATCGCGATGTTACAACTGCGAGCGGTTATACTTGCCAAACACGCCAAAACACGCCAAAACACGCCAAAAGATCACACTTCGTTTTGGAATGTTTGGGGCTTGGCATGTCTGCCGGTAAAGCGTAGTTGCCCTTGGTAACATCGCGGCCAGGCTCCGGTTTGGCATTTTTTGGCGTGTTTGGATGACAGTGTAACTGCCCCTAGAGAGAGAGAAAGAGAGAGTATCCTACATAAACAATGTATTGAGTATGGAATTGTTATTGCATCTCATGATGTTGGTAATACTGCATTTAAAAAGTCTGATTACCACATACAGTGTACTTGTTCCTTGAAAGGCACTGAAAATATGTTTGGATGAATTTGGCTTCATCGCTGCAAAAAAAAAGATAGGTGTTCGACATCTGAAATGTTTCTATATTCCAACAACATAGGCAGGGAGTCTAGCTAGGGAGGGGGTTTATTCAGTTTAATACATTATAGATGGATGGCAGTGGGAATTATAAGCTGCTTGGCTGTCTGTCCTCGTGTAGAATTCTACAGATGCAGTGTATATGTGCCTGTGATCACTTTCTACACTAACAATCAATAATAGACAGACATGTCATCTCATTGTTCAAATTAATTGACCTGCTGTAATTCTGAAATATTATAATGAACTCCAGTCTATTATCTTGCAACGTTGGATCATTTATTGGCAATTTGTTGCTATTGTGTGAAATCTAGGGCAGACAAGGCCATTGCAGTGCGTGTTGTATAGGCCACATGGATACAGAAACAGACAGCTGGATATTTTACAAAAGATGTTTAGAATGGCAAATTATTTGAAAAGTCTAAATCATAGGTATGACTAAATTTGATGCCTTGTTTGAAAATTGGTGTTTATGCATTGTGTGTATCTTAACAGTTGGTTCATTCATATTTCACTGATCAAATTTGAAATTATATGAAATTCTTATGATGTGATCTTGAGCAAAAAATGATTTTAGTGAAAACTGATTTGTGTCCAATATTCAACACTAACTACTTTTTATGTGGACCCTATACCAAGCAATATATGAGTTACCGAACCTTACCTCTAGCCCTAACCTAAAACTCACTTCAAACCTTAACTCTATCCTTAGGCCTAAAAAAAAAGAAAGATGTTGCATTGCCCTTTACAGTGTAGGTGCCAAAACACGGGTCGGTCGGGTTTTTTTTTCTCCCTCTTTGGGCTGATATTTCTCAGTTTTGAATGCTTTAATATATTTTTTCTAAAAAAGGGTAACAAAAAAAACCCTTTTTCAAAAAGCCCTTTTTCAAAAAGCCGACCGTAGATTTCAAGATTTTGGGGTCGGTTGCAAAGGGCAACACAACATCTTTTTTTTTTAGGCCTTACATCTTGATGAAATAAAGCCAGGAGCTAATGTCGCAGCACCTTAAAACAGGAAAGCAACAAAATTAATACAGTGTAAAATCTGATGAAAGCACTTACATGTAAGAGGCCTGGGGAGTGTTTCACAAAGACTAAGATCGACTTTAAGTTGGACTTAACTATGGCAGGCCATTCTTGTCACTGGTTGCTCTCACCATTGGTCTCTCAATAATGATCTTTAGATAATGTTTTTTTCTTTCAATAATGAACTATAAAAAAAGAGTAAATTCTGTAGGTATGTGACCGTGATTTGTACGTTCCTTGAGAGACCAATGCCAGTAAATGGTGAGAGCGAACAGTGGACTGACCGCCTGCCGTAGTTAAGTCCAAATTAAAGTTGATCTTAGTCTTTGTGAAACACCCCCTACATTAGGTTGTTTCTGTATGCCAACAGTGATAGAAAGGTATAATTAATAATAGCACTTTACAAGTTTACATACATGTAGAGTGAACATCCTTCTGGATCGCACTGGACAAACAGATCGTTTTAGAAATTTTATTAAAGAACATGAATTAATAACAGGAACAATAATTTCTAAACTTTCATGCATATTGCAAGCTATCACGATTATGAGAAAACAGCTCTTGTGAAATTGTATGCATATTGTTAATTAATTCATAAATTGATCTTGTTTTTATCGTCTTTTTTCTTGTGTGTGTGTATCTATTGCAGTTAGCCATTGATACGCCAGTGAGTCCTTGGACAAGCATCTTGCCTCTCATCTTCGTGGTTGGAGTTTCTATGATCAAACAGGTAAAGAGAGTTGAAGAGCTTTTAGAGATATAGTCTACAGAGGTTGGTACAGGGGGGTGTTTCACAAAGATCCTAAGTTTAACTTTAATATCTCTAAGTTGGACTTATCAATTATGGAAAGCTGTTAGCATCTTTGAAAATATTTTGTAAAAGTTATTTAAAAAAAGGCATAAAATGCTGATTCAAATCCTTCATATTTCCTATTATCAAGGAGATTTCATGTTCTTGATGTGGAATTTATGAAAAGTCAAAAAATACTTTGCTTTGAATATATTTATTTTAAAGCCACAAATGGCTTTCCATAAGGTTTAAGTCCAACTTAGAGTTAAGTTTGACTTACGATCTTTGTGAAACACCCCCCTGGTATAAGACCAGAATAAGGAGGATAGTGATCGCAAAGATTTTTCAATACAATCAACATCTATAGGGAGAAGAGACCCATGGGTAACAGTGATTCAGTTCACTTTTCCCCTCCCAGGCACAGGTGGATGCCAAGTACTTAGTAATAATATCTCAAGGTCAATTTCAATTCTGTGTTGTATTGCATACATGTACTTGGATTATGTAATATGTCATTATGAATTTGTAAAGCATAACGAAAGGTGATGCACAAGGCTATTGCAATGGGCCTATAAATTTTGATTACTTGGAATTGTCTGTGATTTTGTTTGTAACTAAAGGCAAGGTAATGTAGAGACTGTATGGTAGGAAAAAGAAGAAATGGAATTAGAGGAAAGCTTCTTTAATAGCGTGAAGAAAATCAATCATTTAAGGTAAGATATTGAAAATAATAGGAAAGATCAAGATGCAAATGGATAAAGGGTAAATGAAAACCAAATATATTTAAATAATAACAAATACAAAATTAAAATGAGAGAGGGCGACATGTGAAAGACAGGAAAACAAATAGAAAGAAAAGGAGGTCTAAGGCAAAAATGTGGTGGAAATATAAGCAGAAGAATGACTCATAAAATGAGAAAAACAAGTAGAAAAAGGTAAGAAAAAAACACACAAAAAAGGTTAAAAAGCAAGAATTAGAGGTCTATGGAAAAAGGTGGTGCAAAAAAAAGAAACAGGAGTCTGCTGTAATAGCAAAGAAGTGAGAGAGGGAAGTGATTCAGGACAATGGAAAACAATAAGAAAAAAAGAAAAAAAAGAAATAGATTGCAAATAAAAACGAAAGAGGAAATCAACCTGTTTTATAATCCTTTTCAATGGAGACTTATACTCAGCCATCCGTTTCAATTAGCTATGATATCACCTCTTGATGATGCTTCACAACCCACTTAGAATACGGAATTGGACAATTCACCTGTTTGGATATTATATTGAGAAAGGGGAATTTACAATTTTGCACTTGAAAAGTGCATGTACATGTAATTTCATTCCCTTTCATCAAATTGTAAGCAAACACCTCCTTGAATCAAAGAGCTGTTTTTATATCAGTTTTAATATTGATTTACAATGTATAGTCAGCCATTCGTTGAAATTAGCTATTATTACACCTCTTCATGCTGTTTCACAACCCACTTCAGAATAAGGAATCAGACAATTCACCTACTTGGATATTATATTGAGATCTTGTATTGAGATAGGGATGGCCACCTATATTCTTATCATATGTACTTGAAACAGTCAAGTACTTGTAATTTCATCCTCTCTCATTAGTTTGTAAGCAAACACACACCTTTAATAAAAAAAAAAAAGGCGTTCATATAAATGAAGGCAAATATTGTATTTGCCATTCTAGTTTTAGGGAATGATCCTGGAGTTTTTTGTAAGCCTTTTAAAGAATATTATAACTTTATAAGAAGATGTAAGAGGAACATATTTTACTTTTGACAAATTGTTTTTTGTTGAATGGAAATTTAAAGAGATTTTCCCCATTCTTTCAAAAACCATTCTACTAATTTGAAATACATGAGATCAAGAGAAACTATCTGTTTTATTTTACATCCCTACCCCAAAATTCCCATTATACTGTATATTTTTTAAAACTTGTGTACACATGTTTATATTTAATATTTTTACCCATATGTATTTTATTGTATTTGCTGGAATTTAAATAAACAAATTTAATTGCAATGAATTGAAATGGCAAGTTCAAGTTCATCAGTTTTCTTTAACAATAATATAAATGAAAATACATAAAAGTTCACAATTATGAATGAATCAGGCAAACAAACATACATGTACATGTATAATGAAAAAAAATACAACTTCATGTTGTCAATGATTACAATGATAATATCCCCTAGACAAGTTGGATATCCCTAATATCATCAGTGGTACAGCTTTACATAAGTGAACTCTCTGCCGAATGTACAGATCGACTCCATGCAGAAGATTGTGTTTGTACATTTGGCCAAGATTTCAAGAGGAAACGTGACCTCAATGATTTGAGCCTGGTAATCAATAACACACACCTTCACCTTCCGATAATGATGAAGGCATGCATGCTTGCTTGCTCAACATTATTTCTCTGTTTGGTTTGGTTGTCAGGGTTACGAAGATTGGTTGCGTCACAAAGCAGATAATGAGGTAAACAAGCGAGCAACCCTCGTCGTGCGAGACGGAGTGATCGAGAAAATCAAGTCAAAAGATGTTCGGGTGAGTCGCCAATGTCTTTAATAAATTATGGCTTTGTTAATAAACAGAGTAATGCAGTAGAAATGATGATAACAATAATAACAGTGTTGACAATGTACATGTATGTATATAACCGCTGGACTACAATTATTACCCCAACCTTTTATACCCAAGCTTCACTGATGAGGCTCTCTGGCATTAAAGGATCTTTTTACTAGTTATCCATTAACTACTCCTAGGTAGAGAGTGTCTAACATAGTTTGATGTCTTGCCAAAGGACATTAGTGCTGTGGCATTGAAGGAGAAATAACAATATGCCTTTTAAACTATTTGAAATCCACTTTTAATGAAAAATAGAGCTCCTGTTAAACAAAAAACTAAAATATGGAATATAAGTTCTGAGCAAGAAATATTGGCTTATAAGAATAGTCCTCACAAGCAGCTTTTTTTCCTGACAGAGAGGCCTTATACTCAAAGTCATTTTGAGCAATGAATAGTGACAAACTCTATTTTGCTCGAAATCATAATTCCTGAGATATATGTAAATGTATATATATGCATCATGTAGATACAAAAATTGCATTATTATATATTTTCTTCACTGATTAAGTTTTGAATGTAATGCTGTATATTTGGCAACACTCTTTCACTCGTATAAGTGATACTATTTATTTTTTATTTTTTTAATCGAAATGAATAAAGTCATTGATATTGTTATGTACATGTAGATATTCTAAACAACACAATATTGAAAATAAGGCCTGTATGTATATTGTTCTCTTGATGGCATCCATGCTATGCAGTTTTAATGGCAAAGAAGCTGGTACCCCTATATTTGGTACCATTTTGATTGATATATCATTGCTATTTGTCACACTTCCTCCTACTACATGTACATGTACATGAATATTTACCACTGCCCTGGATAGTCAGCCCGTCCTTCACTTTCTCACTTGTTCTCTTTCTCTATCTCTTTCTCTATCTCTTTATCTTTCTCTATCTCTTTATCTTTCTCGTTCTCTTTCTCTTTATCTTTCTCTATCTCTATCTCTATCTCTATCTCTATCTCTATCTCTTTCTCTTTCTCTTTCTCTATCTCTATCTCTATCTCTATCTCTATCTCTATCTCTATCTCTATCTCTATCTCTATCTCTATCTCTATCTCTATCTCTATCTCTTTCTCTTTCTCTATCTCTTTCTCTATCTCTATCTCTATCTCTATCTCTATCTCTTTCTCTTTCTCTATCTCTATCTCTATCTCTATCTCTATCTCTATCTCTTTCTCTTTCTCTATCTCTATCTCTATCTCTATCTCTATCTCTATCTCTATCTCTTTCTCTTTCTCTATCTCTATCTCTATCTCTATCTCTATCTCTATCTCTATCTCTTTCTCTTTCTCTTTCTCTTTCTCTATCTCTATCTCTATCTCTATCTCTATCTCTATCTCTATCTCTTTCTCTATCTCTTTATCTTTCTCTATCTCTATCTCTATCTCTATCTCTATCTCTATCTCTATCTCTATCTCTTTCTCTTTCTCTTTCTCTTTCTCTATCTCTATCTCTATCTCTATCTCTATCTCTATCTCTTTCTCTTTCTTTATCTCTATCTCTTTCTCTTTCTCTTTCTTTATCTCTATCTCTTTGTCATTCTCTCACATTCACTTTCTTTCTTTCTGTGTTTTTTCTGTGTTTTTTCTCTTTTTTCCTTTTTTTAGTTGTTTATTTTTCTCTTTTTCTCTCTCTCTCTCTCTCTCTCTCTCTCTCTTTCTCTCTCGGTATGTCTGTTTGTAGGTCTCTCTCCCTCTACACGTTTATATTCTCCACCTATATCTTTCTCTACTCATTGATTATTATATGTATTGTCTCTGTTTTTGATAGGTTGGTGATATCGTCAAAGTCCAAAACAACGATGAAATACCATGTGACATGGTCTGTATATCATCAGTGCGAGAGGACGGTGACTGTCATGTGACCACTGCCAATTTGGACGGTGAAACAAATTTAAAGGTAAATCCCTCAAAAAAACTGTCTCTTTTCAAACAATGTAAAGTATGTCTGTTTAAAGCCAGAAGGATGGTAACCCAGTATTATCATATATTTCTTCTTGCTCCAAACAGACACTACTGTAAAAGTAGAAATAATTGCAGTACATTAATTTTTGCGGATTTCGTACTAAGATCGGCAAGCGCAAATTTTAGCATGACTTCTTATGCAAATTCAAGAGCCAGCAAATATGTTTTGGGGTCGCTCAGTGCGAAAAATTAATCACGCAAAAATAACAGCGTTTACAGTATGTAAAATGTTGTTTTTGTCAATCATAACTTTTATTGCTGATTTTATATACCCGGTACTGTCTTTTATTTCTTTTCTCTAAAATCATAAAACAATCTTTTTAAAAGGTCTGTTTATTATCTCAAGGAAGTGAGTTTCATTAAAGTTATTGGTTATTTCCTTTTATTCATTTTAACAAGGTAGTTAATAGCTAATTATTAATTGAAGTTTGATTACTTAGATAAACTGCTTTAAACTTCTCTGATGAATTTTAGATAATGCTGTGATAAATAATTCACAAAAATAACTACAAAGTACCCTCTTTTTTAACATGAAACTTGATCCAACATTGTTACTGCAAACATCTGGAAAGGGAACACTACTATAAAAACATCAGTAACGTGCAATATAACAATCATGGGTATAATACAATGAACAATCAATCAATATCCTATCAATTTATCTTAAATGAAGGTGAAAGTTTATAAATCACCCATGGACAAGCCCCCCATTGTCACGCTACGGTTAAAATCTAAAGGTATTAGGGCTGAGTGATGACCTTTCAGACAAAATAAACAAACATAAATTAAAATTCCATTTGTATTTTAAAATCAGAAAAAGAAAATCACAGCAGTAATTAATCATGGCACAATCTTATTTCACAGGGATAATTATCTTCTTCAAAACTTAGCATTTTTCATTAAACTAGAAGATAAGCATGACAATTATCTTTCATAATACAAATGTTCACAATATATAGAAATATTAATAAGAATTTACATCACTGAATTAAATCCAATGACAAAGAGATTATGCTTACATCTTTAATAGTTCTCACATTGACTGCTTATAAGCTAAAATAGGGAGAACATTCCTTTCTCTCATTTTATAATTCAACTATCAAAAAGCAATTTCACTTCAGTTGAAGGTCAAATATCATCTTCAAAATACACAATAAGAAACTGAAATAACCAGATTTACTATCAAAATATCCAATAACAAACTTCCTATGTGGTCTGAAGATGGAAACCTGCTGTGTAAAGGAACTGGCTATGACATTGCCAAAAATAATGGGTACATCTACTTCATACCCGGAGATGCATGAGCTACAGGCAAACTCTGTCTTTGCTCTTTGGAAGCTAGTTGCAATCTGCCTTAACATGGCCGAATGCTCCTTGATATACCATAAATAGGTTTTCTTTCTAATTGAGCGCTCAGTGCATGTAATGGTGCAAATCTAGGGGTGTTTTACAATCAACATTTCTCTTTTCCCTTTTATTAAGGGTGGTTTACTTGGTTGGGCGGAGGGACTTTTACGGTTACAGTGATTAAGTTTGCTCTCTTCTTCCCTGGCCGCCATCTGTTGCACTCAGAATAGTGCTACAAAAATTTGCATTTGTATAATTTTTGTCATTCTAATTTTGTAATCACCTTGTTTATATTGTCTTATTGTTATATTTCTTGAAAGTGCTGAATAAATGATGATGATAAAAAATATGTTCAATTTTGCAAAATACAAAATGTAGGAGATAATTTTGGATCTTGATTAGTCATGTGTCAGATGAAGACCTGTCCCTTGTTAATGAAACGGCCATTGCAGCAATCGAGCGATGGAAGAACTTAATTTAATTTAATTTACTTCTAAGTTAAGGAACTTTACATTACTATCTTGATCTAAGGAGACACGAACGAACGAATGTGTCACTCAGCTACATGTATGCAGAATAAACACTAGGTTTTAATCATGCTCCTCTTAAAATAAGGCATTAATGATCATCTTTGTGTTATATCTGACTACAGATATTCCGGTCCTTACCCGACACTGCCATTCTACAAACAGAGGAAAGCCTTAACTCTTTAACTGCCGTCGTGGAGTGCCAGCAACCCATCTTAGATCTCTACAAATTTGTCGGGAGGATGACGCTATACCAAAACACCGATGTGCCTAATCAGAGTACTCCTACTCGAAAGTAATTTTTTACCTGTTATTTATTAACCTCTTTCATGCTGTTAGCAGCAATCTCTGTCCACAATCTGAATGTCAACCAGTATAATAATAATAATAATAGGCATTTATATAGCGCCGTCTATCTCAATTCTATTCCGAGGGGCACAAGAAAAATAGAAAGAATGAGAAAGTTTGGACGAGTGTCATAGTGCCAAGTACAGGTATTGTTAAAAAAAGATAAGATTTCAGCTTGGATTTAAAGATCTCTATAAAGGAAGTTATGATTCTCAATAAATATTCCAAAGAGTATGTTGAGACCAAAAGTGGTAATGTATTTTCATCCTAAAACAGTAACAACTACTGTAACAACTACTCTGACAAATGGTTAGTATATCTGATCAGGACAAAAATTAATCAATAACTTTGCCGAGAAGTCTAATAAACAGAACATTTATTACAGTTGGCCTGCCAGACTCGGTCAAGCAATACAATTGTAGTGTTATCTTGGAAATTGTATTTCAGTATTTGATTTGTGCTTGAAAATGTTAATTCAATATTTTGTTCCCTCCATTGCAGGCCTTTAACTGCAGAAAATGTCTTATTACGTGGATGTCGCCTTAAAAATACAGAATATGTTTATGGTAAGTATATTTTGTAGTATTTCAAGTCTTTGTGAGGATGTGAGTCCCTGCACTGCTGATGATATTGGTGTATAATGTTTAGTAAATACTGCACATGTAACCTACGTGAGTGGTCCATAGCATGTTGCGGAAGTTGACCGACCAAAGCAGAAAAGAGTTGAATAAAAGCTTGTCATAGCTTTTTAATAACTTTTTTTTCATTTCCAACCATTAATCTGGACTGATAGAGGTGTTGTGGTCCAGTAGATACGTCTCTGGACTTTGAACCACAAGGTTTGGGGTTCAAATCCCGCCGCGGCACTAATGTCCTTTGGCAAGACATTAATCTACATTTGCCACATTCAACCAACGTGTAGTAAGTCAAAAGTGGGTACCTGAAAGGATTTATTCCGTTAATACACTGAGCGCTACAGTTGCCGAAGCTAAAGCCGGGGTAATAACATCCAAAGAATTTTGGAAGCTCATAGAGACATCATATCATAGCGTGATATGTGCTAAACAAGAATGCTATATTATTATTATTATTATTACATATCCATTGATGAAGTGCTTCTTCGTGTCCTCTCTACAGGTTGTGCAGTGTACACAGGAGAAGAAACTAAGATGGGCTTGAACTCTAAAACCAAAGGACAAAAGTTCTCCTGCATTGAAACGTGAGTATGCTTCACATGCTTTACATATTGGAGTTTAAAATATAGAGTGTTGGCTGATATGTTTGCACATAGTATTGTGTTTATTTTCTGAAGGAAAGACACAGACACAGGTCAGGTTCAAAATATAATCAAACATTTATTTCTCATGAAACTTGGAAATAAACTTCAAAGTTTTTCTTTAGAATCCGTAACAAGAGAATCAATCACAGATTCTATGTTGATTGGATTATGAGTTGAAAAATAATAAGATTTTGTTTAAAGGGATCCGGTAACTTTGTCTCAGATTCTGAAATAAAATTCTGGATTTAGCTCATGATGCCATGATAATTATAAACCTTTATGTCAGTCAGGAACCCCATGACTTTTACAAGCCGATCGCCTGTCTGATTATTAAGATATTTATGATTGGAATTACAAATGTTGAAAACCGTTCACCTGACGGTTTTCATAACACTACAGTCTATTGGGGAAAACGAGTATGGTAAAACCGGTCACTCAAAGATTTTTACTTTTTTGAGGCACTTCTTGATCATTTTGAAGCGCAATTTTTTTAGGGCTTTAATATTACACCATATCACAGACACTGATAACACGTAGGGCCGAGTATGTCAGATTTAACATTGTTAAACGATCCCTTTAAAGTTTTAGTTAGGTGTTCCCCGAACTGGAGCTTCTAATAATAATGTTGATGCTACTCTTGCTGCTGCTGATACATTGAATGTTGATCAGTGTAGATGTAAAATTACTGTTCATATTTAAGGGATTGGTTATCTTTGCTTCAGATTCTAAACAAAATCCTGGATTTAGCTCATGCTGTAATCATAATTATAAACCCTTAGGTCAGTCAGGAATCCCATAACTGTTACAACTGATCACATGTTTTATTATCAAGATATTTACGATTGGAATTCGAAATTTTAAAAATCCTTTTCCTAACACTACATTCTATTGGGGAAAATGAGTATGGTAAAACCGGTCACTCAAGGATTTTTAATATTTTGAAGCACTTCATGATCATTTAGAAGCGCAATTTTTTAGGGCTTCAATATTACACCATCACAGACACTGATAACACGTAGGGCCATGTGGAAACATTGTCAAACAATGCCTTTAATCACAGGTGGTTTTAAATGAGATACATGTATTCATCTTTTTATTCAACGCTCACAGATAATGGAACCATTTCCATATTTCCTTTTGTTTTCACTTTCATATCTTCTCTCTTTCATATTTTTTTCTCTCCAGAGTGATGAACTACTATCTTCTCTTCATGCTGGGGGTATTAATATTTGAAGTTTCGATATGTACCGGCCTCAAGTACTTCTACAACTCAAGGGGTTACGTCCCGTTTTCATGGTACTTCTATGAAGTCGCCAAACCGGACTACGAGATCTCGGTAAGATTATAATGAGAATATGAGATGGTGAGGACTAATAAAGTTTGCATCATCTTTTGTTGAAAATTACGCTGTAGGTTTTTCTTCTCAATCACTAGAAAAACTACTTTAAAAAGTTTTATTCACTCTTACTATCGCCGATGAGATAAACATCTGTCTTTGGTAATACTGTAGTAATGTACATGTAGTAATAGCTGGATATATAAAGCATTTGACTCGAGGATACAGAGCTTGGGTTACTGTTACTTGCTTTGGGTTAAAGCCAATTTTTGACCCCGTTGGAGATCAAGAGATTATTTCACATCCCCACCCCAAAATGGCAAGTTTTAGTTCAATTTTCAATAACGATAAAGAAAATATATAAAAGTTCATATGCATGTGTGGCTAAATCAGGAAAACATAGGCAATTTACAACAACAACAAGTCATGTTGTCAGTGATAAGAATAATACCCTCTTCACATAAGATGCTAAAGCATTCAAGAAATTTATCATACCAGGGGAGTGTTTCACAAAGATTAAGATTGAGTTTAAGTTGGAACTAACTATGGCAGGCTGTCCATGCCACTATTTGCTCTCACCATTTACTGTCATTGTTCTCTCAAGGGACGTACAAATCGTGGTCACAAATCTACAGTATTTACATAGGTCTTGTAGCCAGGGGGTTCCGGGTCTGAAACCAAGTCAATGCGCTAGTCCCCTTTTGTAAGGCATTAATCCTTATTACCAAGTCCCTCGGAGAGGACTTAAAGCCCTCTGTCCCCTGGTTGCTCACCTACAAGCACACACATACTTTTTTAGCAGTTAGGTAAAATAAACAAAACCAACCAACTAACTTACTCATACTTCTATCGCATCTAATTGCTTCTGTTACACCTTTAACAATCCTGTTGAATAATCATGTTCTTTTTGTATTCCTTCCTTCCTTTGATTATCTGGTCACAGTTTTTAGGAGTCATGGAGGACTTCCTTTCCTTCCTTGTGCTTTACAACTACATCATTCCAATCTCATTGTATGTTACCATCGGTAAGTGTGCTAATATTATCCCGCCAAAATACCACGTAAAGCTCTCTGAAACCATTTGTGTGAGAGCACTATACAAACGAACATATCGAGGGGTCAGTGACACAATGACGTAACTCCATTTTGGCCAGTTTTAGAAAAAGCAGTTTAAAGATAGAGGTCCACTTGGGCCTGAAGGAGTTAAGTCTATGTTTCACTAGCCATTGACTTCAATGGGATGTTTGGTGGAGTTAAGTCTTTGTGTTTCCTGGTAAGCCTACATTTTTCTGAACATTTTGATATCAGATACTCATTTTGGCAAAAAATATGGAGTTACGTCTTTGAGTCACTGAACCCTCAATATTATCATTATTATAGTATAAGAAATAATTGGGAGAGCTACAAATAGAGAAATGTGTAGAAAATGAAATTGGTACTTTCATTAAAAAATTGGAGGGTGAGAGAAGAGGAATGTGGTGGAAAATGTGGGAGAGTGAAAGAAAAGTGAAAATGTAAGCAAGAATTGGTAACGATTGTGTATGAATATTTATGTAAAGAGGATGTTTGCTACAGATTATTCATGTATACATTATGATCTATGGTAGATGTTAACATATTATTTTGCACACGGTATAACAGTAATACACTCCAAGATATGATGTAGTAAGAGATTGCTATTGGGACAAGAAAGTAATTAAGAGAGAGAGAAAGAGAGAAGAAGAAGAGAGAGAGAGGGAAAGAAAGACAAAGAGAGAGAGAGAGAGAGAGAGAGATTGAGAGAAAGAGAAAGTGAAAGAGAAAGACACATACAGACGAATCGACTGATAGACAGGTCCGAGAGACAGAAAGATTGATAAAAAGAAGAAAAGAAGAAGGCGAGAATGATTTTCAAGTAAATCAAAACATATCCTATGCACGAGTGTGTTACAATGTTTTAGTTGTATAATAAAAAAATGATCTTTTATGTGTGTTCTCTCCTTTACAGAAATGCAGAAGTTTCTTGGGTCTATGTTTATTGGATATGACATAGAGATGTACGATGAGGTAAGGAAATTAAATACAACATCAGAAATGTTTATATCTCTTCTTTATCTACACTGTACATGTATGTGTGTTTATTACTATCATAACAAAAGTAGATTATGACTACATGTATAGCTGTTAGCCAAAACTCACAAAATCTAAGAGAATAGAACTACAGTAAAACCTGTCTTGGTGGCCACCTGTCCATAAAGGCCACTTGTCTATAGTGGGCAAAGATGTTGGCTCCTTCTCAAAGGAAATGTGTGTTGATGAACCTGTCTATAAAGGCCACTTTCTGGGTTTCCCTCGGGTGGCCTTAATAGTCAGGTTTGATTTTATTTTTATAGTAAGAGATGTAATGATGGGAAACAGTCATGAACGCTGGATCAAAACAATAAATTCATGGAAATAAATGGTAGGGCAGTCTTCAAGATTTAAAGGAAAGAGGATTTTAGACCGAGAAGACAGAAATAAATGGAGAGAGAAGTTAAAAAGAGATATAGAAAAAAAGAGGGATAAGGAGAAGGGGGAATCCTAACAAACAAAACTTCATGACTTGTGAACTGTTTTTTTATCAGTCCAAATAGAAAAACAAATAAATCACTCTACATATATTAATTGCCTCCTTCCTCTGCATCACCATGACAACAGAAAACCAACGAGCGTGCCGTCGCCAACACGTCTGACCTCAACGAGGAGTTGGGCCAGGTGGAGTACATGTTCACAGACAAGACCGGTACTCTTACCGAGAATGAGATGAAGTTCAGACAATGCTCCATCAATGGGGTCAAGTACGTGGAGGTCAAAGGTCAGTTGCAGCCGCAGAAGGAAGGGGAGGCTGAGGATGAGGTAAGTGAAGTTGAATTCATTCAGTTGTCTTTATATTTGCGGCTGTACATTGTAGTGTTTTATGGTCGTAAAACATCTAAATTCTCGCTACATTTTTGGAATTGGGTGCTGTTTATTAGATAATAGGAGTCAAAATTTGATAATCATGAAAATAAGCCAATTTTTTTAAATATGTTGATGATACTCTATAAAACTTTTCCTAATCCTTTAGGTTATGTTCATAGTTGTGATGGCCAATTTTCAAAAGATTATTTTCTTTATATGATCTACAATAAAATGGTGAGGTATAACAATTTATAAATAAATGTGTGAATGAAATTATAACTGTATGTATTGATGAATTTATTTATTTCATGTTTATTTTTCTTGAAGTTTGACAAAGAGCAGTTCTTGCTGACCATGGCACTATGTCATACTGTCCATGTACACAAAGAAGCAGGTTCATCTAATGGAGTCGAGAACGGTACCGTTGGTGAGACACCCATGCTGCAGTATGAAGCATCGTCACCGGACGAGAAAGCTCTTGTGGAAGCAGCAAGCCAGTAAGTCTGATACCACACATTGCTTCTCTGTTTGCATCTAGACATTATTCCTGTTTGGTATAGCGCTAATGTCTGTCACAAATATTACCCCGGCTTCGTTATGGCTGCCATTACGGCGCTCTAGCATTTCAAGAAATTGTTTCCGGCCAGGTACCCATTTACATCACCTGGGTGGAGAGTGGCAAATGTAGATTAATGTCTTGCCAATGGACATTATTGCCGCGGTGGGACTCGAACCGGGGACCTTGTGATCCAGAGTCCGGTGACTTATCCACTTGACCACATAACCTTTTGTCTTGTATCTCATATTATCTTCCCACCTCTCTCATACCATTAGGTACGGTACAACATTCCTGGGAGGCACCCAAGAGTACCTGGAGGTCAAGCACAAAGGTCAGACGCTACGCTACCAGATCCTTAACATCCTAGAGTTTGACCCGACCCGGAAGTGCATGAGCATCATTCTGAAATCACCTACAGGTGTGGATTAATATGAATTCTTTGTTGTCTGGTAAAGCTAAATAATTTAACCCTATCTACCTTCACTAGTCTTTAATGTATAGAGCAATTTGATTAAAGATAAAGACCAGTTATGGTCATGTGATTGCATTGTGAAAGAAACGTTGTGAAATCGATCAGAAAAGGTTGATCATCTAGCATAGATGTACTGCAAGGTTCTGGAATCATCAAATGATAAGAAATTTGGCCCAGTCTTCATAAAGTTACAAGCACTATACACAGAAAGATGTATATGGGACTACGCACACATGCTTTTTTTATCCCTCACACACCAATTGATAAACTAATTTACCAAATATATGAATTAGTAGGTGGTTTCCCGGCAATATTGTTATCATGTATTATTCAAAACATATTCTTTCACATGATTGGTAATAAGAGCTTCCATTTCATTTTTTGAAATTGGGATGTTTCCAATACTGGTCTTTACCTTTAAAGTTCATTAGATAGAGAGAGAGAGAGAAGAGAATGAGAGAGAAAGAGAGAATACTAGTTATTGTTAGGATCTTATTTGTATCAACTCATACTCCATATCTGTGTCACTTAAAGTCTATCAACCTTGTAAGTACTTGTACAATTAAAAAGATTGTACAACTCATGTTGTTGTGACAATGTCTCCATGGACATGTCCTACACTGACCGAATTCTGAACCACAACGCAAAACCTAACCTTAAACCCAATTGCAACCCCTACGTGCCAGAGCCTGTGTGGAGCACTGGAAGGGACTTGTGTAGTGACCTGATAAGAAGAAGACCCTTACGTATACTTGTGATGAAATATAGCATGGAGCAACTGTTGCTAGAGGCTAGAGCAAATGTCATATTGAAGTATGAAATATTTCAAAATGGGCCCAAATTTATCTTATGTACATTTACTTGTACCAAGAGTAATGTAAAAGCAATTACAGTCAAACCTGCTTTTGTGACCACCTGTCTACAAAGGTTACATTTGTTGTTTCCCTTGAAAATGGTTTCTCATTGAATCATGTGTACTAAAGAAACCTGTCTACAAAGACCACCTGTCTACAAAGGCCACTTTTTGTGTTTCCCTTGGGTGGTCGCTATAGACTGGTTTGACTGTATAACATTGTGTTTGACTTTTTTCTTTTTTGTCCGTGTTTCATGTGTCAAGGAGAAAACCTGCTTCTGTGCAAAGGCGCTGAGTCATCCCTCTTGAGAAAGAGCGTCAGCGGTAAGAAGGGCGAAACAGATCAACATGTCAGCGATTATGCTATGGTGAGAAGAACAACAGACCCTGATAATCTAGACCTAGACCTGTAAGGTTTTCTTAATGAATATTCAGTTAAACCTCCAGTCAAACCTCAATAGAGACTCCCTAAAGTGGCCTTTGAAATTGTCTGTCTGTCAACTCAAAATTATTTTATTGAATTTGTCTTTTTGTATGAATGTACGTCTATTTATGTGGGCGCAAGTAACTTTAAGTAGGCAGTGGGGCTTTCAATTAAAACTTTAACTAGAGTACATCGAGAATCTCTTTGATGGTTTTGTGGTACGGGGTCACATAATGTTTAACATTTATCAAATGGCATGGCTCTTTGTTTCTCAGGAGGGTCTAAGGACGCTGTGTTTTGGTCAGAGGAAACTAAGCGATGATACCTACGCAGGGATGGAAGAAAAATTGAGGCTAGCCGCTACAGCTTTAGATGATAGAGAAGAGAAGGTAAGAAGATTAATTGTTTTTTTTTTTTTACCCATGGTAGCACCATCAGTACAATTGCTCTTCCGTAGGTTCCTGCAGCTATTTATTATGCAATTGTTGCCAGGTATCCATTTAGTATATCTGGGGGGTGTTTCACAAAGATCCTCGGTCAAATTTAACTCTACATGTAAGTTGAACTTAACAGTTATGGAAAGCCGTTAGCATCATTAAAAATATTTTGTAAAAGTTATTTCAAAAGGCATAGAATATTGATTCAAATCATTCATATTTTCTATTATCGAGGAGATTTCATGTTCTTAATGTGGAATTTATGAAAAGTCTAAAATGCTTACATTTTTGCTTTTGGAAATATTTATTTTTAAGGCTACAAATGGCTCTCCATAATTTGTAAGTCCAACTTTATTAGAGTTAAGTTCGACTTAGGATCTTTGTGAAACACCCCACTGTGACAAGAGGGACTCATGTGGGTGGAAAACCTTGCCTGAGGATGTAAGCACCAGGCAAGGATTGAAGCCAGACCCTCCTGTATGAGCGGCAACACCCCTCACCATTATACATAACATGTATTACAGTGCTCCTCCTACATATCCATGGTGGCTTGATAAAATTGATTACAAAAAATTAAGGGTCTTTCTTGATATCAGGAAATCATTTGCCAAAAGGTACATACTGAACAATAATAATAATAATATTAATAAGATATTTCTATAACGCAATTGCATAATGCCTCAAAGCGGTTTGATGTGGTAGGTTTTTTTTTTTCTAGGGCATGGACAATAATCCTGTTAAGCTTGTCAATCTTCTATAAATTCTATAATTTGGATCAGAGTTTATCATAGTAAGTTTTGTGTCGAATTGGAAATATTTAGTTGCAATTTTTATTCATATTTTTAAATTTTATTTTTATTCATTTCTTATTCAAGAGTGTAAGAAGAAGAATTTGTGGCGATTTGTGATGGCAAAGCTGATTCAATTAGACCTATAGAAAATTCTGAATAATGATTTCTTTTTTCCTTGATTGAATACAGCTCTCTGAAGCATATGACATGATAGAGCAAGAGCTTCATCTGTTAGGAGCTACAGGGGTTGAGGATCGCTTGCAGGATCAGGTGGCTGAGACCATGGAGGCTCTCAGGGAAGCAGGGATTAAGGTAATCCATTCTTAATCCAATTTTATTCCTTTGTAGGATGATGTAAAAAGTGAAAATTGGTATGGGGTTAATTGCATTTAAAATCTTATCTTAAGTTTAAGTTCAAGATTATTCCTTATTCCATTATACAAGTTAAAAACTATATTTGAAACATAAACAGTTAAACTGTTACAGATGAAATTCATCGTGTAAAAAGGATCATAAATGTGGAGGGGGCAACTACATGTACATAAGCCAATGGTCTTAGGAGGCACGCAAAGATCACAAACATTAGGTTGGTTTAAAACACCAAAATTGGTGGGTGATTCTTTTTCCCTTATTTTCGTATTCAGTTTATTTTCGTATTTCTCATTTCATGTTGCACATTGTCAGCTTTGTGATAAGAACTTCCACATAGTTCCTGTATGTGAACAAGAATGAACCAAATTCTGTTTGAATAATTTTCTCTGCAAATTGGGCATTTTCTCCGTTGCTTTAGATAATGAATAACAGATAACAAATTAAGGCACAATGGTCAAGGAATATTATGTAAGATTTACTCAGGAATACATGTAGTTGAACACATAATTAATAGTTTAAATGTAATTAGGTTGCTTATCAGATATCAATTTAATTTTGAGGAGCATTATCTTCACAGCTTGGGCAAGGGAACCACAGTGGGAAATAACATAGTTTTAGCTCTGGTTTGTAATGGCATTTGATCAAAGTTTCAACAAATCTTTTTTTTTTGATGTCCGTTACAGATCTGGGTACTGACGGGGGACAAGCAAGAGACAGCGGTTAACATCAGTCATTCTTGTGGCCACTTCAAGGATGGAGTAGTAGAACTCCTACTGGTCAAGCAGGACGTTGAGACATCGTGTGTCCAGACCCTCAGAAGACTGAAAGAACAGTAAATATTTTGTCTCCATTAAAACCTCATTCACACCTGGGCCTGTTGCATAAAACTTACCATAAATGGTAACTTTTCCCTCGATGGCAACTACCATGGTAACTAGGCTTGAGTCGGTACAGTCGATCACACCGGGACCCGACCGTTGCCGTCGGGTCCCGGTTTCGTTTTTTGAGAACCGATGCTCCGAAAAAAAATTAGAAATATGTAAGAAATTGCAGTTTTGCACACCACTAAAATCAATCCACCTTAAAACATAAGTATTTAATGGTTACCAATCATATTCTAGCTCATCCTGAATCAATCCGAACTGCTGATATAAAGGGTTGCAAGGCAGTTCGCCCCATGGGGTTGTTGTTGCCAGCTGCTAGCTAGCTACTGTACTGGCCGGGTCTCTCGGCAGGATTAATAAATCAGGTTGAAAGAAACATTAATGTTTGAATAATAAAACGGCTTTCTAAAAAGTACTTCTTTACAACATGACGATCGAATAATTTTTAAAAGACAAAATATATATTTTTTCTTTGATTTTGAACACCGCCTGCTTCTTTTAAAAGCTGAAAATTACTTGGTAATCACAAGAAGTTTCGATACGGATAGCTGTTGCAAGGCAAGTTCAGACTAGTCTCGGGAAAATGCGCAGTGCTCCTCGTTAGCTGTAATGCGTGCCAGAACGAACCCAAACAAAGATGTGATCGTAACGAGAAAAAAATCATTAAAAACTACGAGAGCACAATTGGAAAGACAACTACTCAAAATTATCGTAAGCAGATACATAACTTGGAGGAAGAAAACAATAGTTGTTCAAGAAAAGCCACATAATAGTGATATTTAAGGAGTTACTATAGGTACAATCTTTATCGGAAGGGCCTGCTGCAATTATCCGAACGTGTTTAAATTGAACACGAGGCTATACGAGGCAAATACCGCCCTCTACGGTAAAAAGCAGTATAACAAAGGATTCAAGTATTTGCAGCAGGCCCCTTGCGATAAAAATGTACCCAGTTACTCCTCGATTATCACAATTTCTGTGGCATTTCTTGGGCTATTATTGAATTCTTTGTCCAAGTTATCTATATCTGATTATGGTAATTTTGAGCAGTACTTGTCTTTCCAATTGTGCTCTCGTAGTTTTTTTTTAATGATTTTTTTCTCGTTACGATCACGTCTTTGTTTGGGTTCGTTCTGGCACACATTACAGCTAATTACGAGGAGCACTGCGCACTTTTCCGAGACTAGTCTCAACTTGCAACGGCTATCCGTATCGAAACTCTTGATTACCAAGTAATTTTCAGCTTTTAAAAAAAAGCGTGCGATGTTTAAAATAAGAGATAAATATTTATTTTGTCTTTAAAATATTATATGATCGGTATATTGTACAGAAGAAATTTTTAGAAAGCCGTTTTATTATTCTAACATTCATATTTTTTGATCAGATTTATTCAACCTGCATAAATCAAAATGGCGGCTCGAATGTTGTCCTTCTATTTCTGCCCCAGTTTTTTTTACTTTTAGAGGCACGAAAATGGCACTAAACATCGCCAATCATGGATGAAAATAATGTCAAATGGAAGAATATACCGATCTGAGCCGAGGTATGCACGTGTTGATTTATTTGATTGATAAAAAAGGTCACTTTTAAGGGACATACTGATGATATGCGCTTTTTATAGAGGCAAGTGACAAATCCTGCGAGCTGATTTCGGGACACCGGGTCCCGATCGGTGCAAGGCCGTCGGGACCCGGTTTATGAAAATCCCGACATGACTCAGGCCTAATGGTAACAGGGCTCAACAGCCAATCAAAATCAAGGTTTCCATGGTAGTTACCATTGATGGCAAAGTTACTATCAATGCTAAGTTTTGCGCAATGTGCCCTGGTGCATGTTCACACATACTGTTACTTATATACAGTATGTGTGCTATACAAAGTCATTTTGGTCAAAACTGGAAGGAAAAGAAGAAAAAAATTGTGTAAGGAAATCCAGCAAGAATTCTGTCTCCAATACTTTTACAAACAAAACACATGGGAAAATATTCAATAGATTTCTTTGTAGTGAAAAAACAGTAACAATCATACAATTGAATATAGTTCATGGTGTTATCATGGAGAGAAAATGATAAAATACTCTTAATCGCTGATACTTTATTTGCAGAATGAAGCTAGAACCCCAGAAGCGTTACGCCCTCGTGGTTGATGGTCCCAGTCTGGCCTTGACGATGAAGCTGTACCAGATAGAGTTCAGGGATCTCTGCTTAGATTGTGAAGCTGTGCTCTGCTGTCGTATGTCACCTTTCCAAAAAGCTCAGGTACGTGTACTGGTGGTGGGTTACTTTACCTGACTGCTCTCTCTCTCTCTCTCTCTAAGTGCCATATCGTTTGACTTTGGTGATCATGCTGTTCCACAACCCTCGGTTCCTAGCCTTCTGTATTAGTACCACTCCCAGTTCTTTCACTCCTCTCTCTTCCAACAATTTCTGCAGACTGTCCATCCAAAGTATCCTCCTTCTTCCCACGATTTTCCCTGTCAAAGCAAGATTCTCTAGGCTTCTAGACCTGACTGCTAAGAAAGCATAAATGCTTGTTAGTAAGCAACCAGACGGCCGACGGCTTTAGGTCCTCTCCGAGGGACCTGGTAATGAGGATTAATGCCTTACCGAAGGGCACTAGTGCATCTCCTTGGTTACGAACCTGTGGGTCGTCAGATTATGAGACCACTGCTCTACCAACTGAGCTGTTGCGCCTCCTTTAGTTGCCAATCAGTCATAATTATAATTATGATATTAGTGATTAGTGATAATTCCTGTTCTTGTATAGCAGATTTTAAATAATGATATAAAGTCCCTGTGCACTTCCAAATTGATACTCTAGCTTCATCTGTAGTAAACAGTGCATTATAGAAAATTACCGTACCTGGGGGTGTTTCACAAAGATGCTAAGTTGGACTTAACAATTATGAAAAGCCGTTAGCATCTATGAAAATATTTTGTAAAAGTTATTTTAAAAGGCATAGAATGTTGATTTGAATGATTCAAATTTTCTATTATCTAGGAGATTTCATGTTCTTGATGTGGAATTTATAAAAAGTCTGAAATACTTGATTTTTCACCTTTTAATATTTTTTATTTTAAGGCTACAAATGGCTCTCCATAATTTTCAAGGCCAACTTAGAGTTAAGTTCGACTTAGGATCTTTGTGAAACACCCCCCTGGTATACATTTACATCACCTGGGTCAAGTGTAGCAAATGTCTATTATTGTTTTGCCAATGAACTTTAAATATATTATAATCCATAGTCCGGTGACATATACCCACAAGATCACAGCTCCTCTGCTATTCCTGTTTTATAGTATGATTCTTATTTTGATACGCCTTCAACTCATGTTATTTTTCTTTTACTAGGTTGTGAAACTAGTGAAAGAGTCCCCCTCCAAACCCTCTACCATGGCCATTGGTGATGGTGCCAATGATGTTAGTATGATCCAAGAAGCACATCTTGGCTTGGGTAAGTACATGTATCAAGTCATGATGATGATGGTGGTGTTGACATTGATGATGATGGTGGTGGTGGTGGTGGTGGTGGTGGTGTTGGTGATGATGATGATGATGATGGTTATGGTGGCGATGATCTTTAAGATTGGGTAACCTTTAAATGAATTCTTCTCTAAAGTAACAACTTTTAAGACTGGAAATTATCTATTATTCAATGGGTTAGGATTTGGAAAAATGATGAGTTATATATCATTTCAAAAGTTAGAGTCTTGTCATTTTGAATCATACCTAAACTAAAAGTCGTATCTTGCCACTTTTTGGTGATTTTGTGGTGCTTTGTCCACCTGCTGCCAGCGAAGATATCAGTTTCAGTTCTTATTTTAATTATTATCATGAAAGTTCATCTATATTTTTGAAACATATGTTTCAGAATTAAACTTTTGATCTCAATACAAAATATCCTTCACAACTGTTCAGCTACAGTCTTTGTTAGCCATTTGACCTGACTTGACCTTTCAAACCTTTATAATCAATTCAAACCTTTTTTCTTTCTCTAGGAATCATGGGTAAGGAGGGTCGTCAAGCGGTACGCTGCAGCGATTACGCTTTCTCTCGTTTCAAGTTCCTCCTCCGAATTCTTCTCGTCCATGGCCAATGGTACTACCATAGAATAGGAATCACTGTCCAGTACTTCTTCTACAAAGTAAGTATATTTACTCAAAATGAAGGTGTTTAAGTTACTTGTAGTTGTGAGTACAGGTACCTTTTTCTTTTATCAATGCATCAATTCACCCTCCCATCGTTGTACGTTTTCATATCATACAAAGTCACACTATGTATAATATGTATTTTTTAAAAAGTAACAATTATAGCACAACATTTGTAACTTACACAACTCAACTCTTATTTAAACATATTTGCAGCTTACACCCAGTAAATAAGATTGATTGATCAATATGTATTGAAAAACAAGTCAGAAAAACATCTTGGAACCAGCGAGACTTGAACCTGCATCTACTGCTCGCCGGGCAGCTACTCTACCACAAGGCTATCACTAAAATTTCTCCCAGGAAGCATTACATATATTTTTTAAAAAAAACCTCAACTCTTGTAATAGAATAGGATTGCTAAAGTAACTGGTTTAAATTGATTTGGAATGATTTATGGTGCAGTAGATGATCAAACATCAATCAATCTGCTGAAATCGTCCTTGTTGAATACCAACTGCCATTTGCAAACAGAGACCACATATTATGCAAATGGATGGCACTTTTAAATTGTATATTAACCTTGGTTTCCTTTGCTTTTTTTTTCTTGTTCAGCCAAGATACATTTTCAACCAAATTCATTTTGCACTTTTCATTCATATCAGTTGCATTTGGTAATAATAATAATAATAATAATATTGGATTCTTATATAGCCCACGTATCGACCTTGCAAGGTCCTCAAGGCGCTCCAACATTACCCGGCTATGCTAGGCTGCCGATTTCGACGCTCGCAGCATTTCAAGGAATTCCTATAGAAGGTTCATGGTTTATGTGTCACTGAGCACTTGGGCCTTAAGGAGTTAAGTCTATGTTTCATTAGCCATTGACTTCAATAGGGTGTTGGGTGGAGTTAAGTCTTTGTGTTTCCTGGAAAGCCCACATTTTTCTGACCATTTTGATATCAAATACTCATTTTGGCAAAATATGGAGTTACGTCTTTGTTTCACTGAACCCTTGATATGTACTCGTTGTTTAACCTCATATTTATTCTTTTATTTTTTTCAGAACTTTGCCTTCATCACTGCCCAGTTCTACTTTGCCTTCTTCTCTGAGATGTCACAACAGGTAAATTAAACATTGTCTAGTTTTAGAGAACAACTCACACACATTTCTCTAGGTCCACTCCTCATCCCGTCCAATGCATTAAAAAACACTGCACACAGATATGAGTGTATGGGACTGCACAAATCTGCTGCATAAAAATTTTGCCCAAAGGAAAGCTATTTCTTGTTATATTTGTAATATGAGAGCATTTTGAGAGAAATTCTCATGTTGTGATAAAGCTACTACAATAATCTTTCACATGAGCATAACAAGAAATTGAAAGCTCACAAATTACCTTGCACCTTTAGTACAACTAAATTTTCTCTTTAATCTTCACTCGACCCAGATGAGTTGAATGGGTATCTGGTAGGATTATTCCTTATAATGTACTGTGCGCTGATTACGCCTGCCGGAGCTAAAGCTATATAGGGTAATAATTTTCAAAGCTCTTTGGAAGCGCATAGAGCCAATTTTGGCTTTCAAGATTCCCCACTTCCTTTTATCTTATGTTGATAATGAACGAACATGTATATACTTTTGATGTTTTTTTCGAAAGAGAGTGAAATAAATAAATGAAATGAAATATATCATGTGATATATGCTATACAAGAACCAAATATTATTATTATTATTTAATTTTTTCCCTTCTCTTTTTTGAATTTGTATCCAGCCTATGTTTGACAGCATGTACCTGACCCTGTTCAACATCACCTTCTGTGCATTACCCATCTTACTGTTCGGTATCTTTGAGCAAAATCTTCCTGCAGAGATGCTCCTCAAGAATCCCAAGCTCTATAAAGAGAATCAGCGAAACTCCTACTTCAAAATGTGGAAGAATTGCTACTGGGTCTTATTAGGTGAGTTTGGTCATTATTGTTAATCTTTTCCAACAATATTGAGTATATTGCATCACTTGTTTTGGGGAGGGGAAAAGCGAACTGAATCAGTTATACAAGAACACTAAAATCTTATTTTGAATCTCTGATCCCTAGATCCTTGGAACTTGGATTCTTATGTTTTGGGGTACTGGGATTTGTTTTAATCCCAGGATCATAATGTCTTTGAATCTTATAGCCCTTGATCTTGGGACTGTTCAGTGTCTGGATATTTGTGTCTTTGGATCCATCGATCTCTGGATTCTTAGATCCTTGGATTCTTGGATCCTTGAACCACTGTATCTTTTGATCATAAAAATCTCTTGAACCAATGTATCTTAGATCTTGATACCTGGATCTTAGATCTTAATGTCGGATCTTCAATCCTGGATCTTAAATCTTAATCTTGAATCTCTAATCTTCCTTGTTTCAGGTATCTACCAGTCTATCGTCTTCTTCTTTGGAGCAATGCTTCTTCTCAAGGATGATGTTCCTCTTATGTCGAATATGAAGGTAAGGTCATCAAGATATTTCGAAACCTATTGAAGACAGTTTTTTAAGTAAGAATATGAAGTAATCCTCAGTATTGAGATCTGCTGAAGAATCGGCATATGAAGGGAGAATGAGTCAGATTATATCTTAGAGCCAGAAGGGACTTGAATTTGAAACAGCTACTGTTTTGTGGTTAGGCAACCATACCATTAGGCCATTCCTGGTCCTTTCAAAACAAAGATCCCACTCCCTTGATTTTGCAAATTAAAGGGTTGTTTACATATGGTGCAGTTTACTGCTGCTTTTTGTTTTCCATCATGACTTGCTATTCATTTATAGGTTAAAAAAAAGATAACTCGGTGTTTATTTGCTCTGGCTCGTAAAGTTTTGAAACAGAGCAAAATAACACTGAGTTGCTATAGGAAATTTATTTATTCAGATGATCATATCTCAGCCAATATTTAACATATTCAATTGGTTTTCAACACGTGGACATTATCTTTGATGCTCTTTCGGAAAATGAAGAAAAAAAATTGAGAAACTCTAAAAGTAGACTTTTGATGTAGTCACACGTCACCACTCTATGCCTATAGATGTTGGGAAGCTTCATTGTTTTCATTCAAATGCAACATCAACATTGTGCCTTTATTCCATAATGAATTCCTTCTCATTTTGATTACAGAACTACGGTCTTTGGTCGTTCGGTACTCTAGTCACGACAGGATGTGTGCTGGTTGTAAATTTCAAGGTAAGTCAAGTACACACTTCCAGGCTTGGGGAAATTGTTTGTTTGTTTGTTTTACCTGACTGGTAAGAAAGCATATGTACGCTTGTAAGTAAGCAACCAGCTTACCATTAGCTTTAAGTCCTCTCCGAGAAACTTGGTAATGAGCATTAATGCCTTACCAAAAAGGGCACTTGTGCATCGACTTGGTTTTGCACACGGGACCTCTTGGTTATGAAGCCACTACTCTACCACTGAACTTTTCACATTCTTCATGGTATGTGTGGATTATCAAGAAATGGTTGCCTTACAAAGCTGCAGCTATTTCTGAATACTTGAAGTTAGAATATGAATTTTATGAAGGGTATTCTAGCAACTTATATGTATGAGACTCCAATCCAATCCAATCTATGCATACGTAGAGCACCATTACTATTTGAATTACAGTGGAATCTCGTTATAACAAGTTCCTTTTGACCATGGACATTACCTTGTTATATCAGGGTAAAAAAAAAACACAAAGAATATAAAGAGCTGGGACCAGCAAAATCACCTTGTTATATCACAGCTCTTTATAATGAGGTTCCACTGTATCTAAATAAAGCTGCTAGTGAACCTGTAATAAACTGTTTGTATACAGCCCATTATTCACGTACATTTAGTGGCTAGTTGTAATCGCATTTGAAAAGATGCCCCATGCTGATTTTTAAAAGTAGACGATACATCACAAGAAGTAGAGCGCAACTATTTGGAGACAGTTCCACAACTAAATTTCAATCCCTTAAGTCTAAACTTGTTTTATTGATCATTTGATAACAGCTGTGTATCGAGATATGCAACTGGGATGGCTTTCAGATCGGTGGTATGATTATACAGCTCCTGGGCTACCCGGTTCAAGTGGCTCTCTTCTCAGGATTAATATGGTAAGTACAAGAACAGTGATGTAGCTACAGGAACCCCCAACCGCCCCCCCCCCAAAAAAAAAAAAAAAAAAATCAAAAAAAAAAAAAAAAAATAATAATAAATAAAAATAAAAAAATAAATAAATAAATAAATAAATAAAAAATAAAAAAATCAAAAAATCAAAAAATAAAAATAAATAAAAAATAATAATAATTATAATAATAATAAATAAATAAAAATGATAATAATTAAAAAAAGAAATATATATATATATATGATTATTATTTAGACAAAACAAAATTATTATGATATAAAAAAATGAAAAAATATTGATTATTATTGTTATTGCTTTTAAAAAAATCAATGAAAAATAATAATTATTATTATTAAATGAATAAATGAAAAATAATGATAATAATAAATAAATGAATAAATATAATACATTGAGGGGAGAAAAAGGACCCCCCCCCCCCCAAAAAAGGGTCATAGAAAGTCAACGTTGAAAACATGATACAACTTCCTTTCTACCCCCCCCCCCCCCACTGTTCATCCTCCTATTTAGAACATTACATGCCCCCCCCCCCCACCCATAACCTCACTGCCCCTCAATGGCTAGATGTTTTTACAAGAATACACATCATACATGGAATGCATACAATGTTCAATGCCGAGAAAACAATGTATGTAGGAAGTATGGAGGGCATGTTTGTGAATATCATAGAAATCTAATCATTTTAATGAAACCTTATTAAACACTACCATACACAACACATCTATCCATGTATGTTTTGGATTTGATAAACTACTTTTGTTTGATGGGTGTGTATGAATTCATTTCCATGATGAAAAGTATTTTAGTTGCAAAAATAATATCAACTATTTTTGCAACGACCAGCATTGATTGATGAATTAATCTACTATTTTCCTTTATTAATTTAATTTTCCTCATTTCTCTTTCTCTCATTACAGGCATGATATATTTCCAATGTAAGTACTAAGAGTTAAGTTATATTATTACATTTCATATAACATCTAAGTAGATCCTTGTCATTTGATTATTATTTGTCACATGATATTCAATGAATAATCGATTGAACGAATATGTCATTGATCGTGCATTTTTTGTTATATGAGACCCGTATTGTTTGCCAAAGTTGTAACATTGCACTGCAGCACAACCTTAATCTTTGACACGTACATTCACAAGCAGACGACCTGGGTCATCAAGGCGGTCAGTATAAATAACAATTTAGATGTTAGATGTTACAGCTGTATATAAAAACAATAAATTAATGTTTTTCATTTGTTCCATAATGCAAAAATTTTCATTCGTTCAATAATGCGAATATTTTCATTCGACAAACTGTTTTACTATAAACAAGAAGAAATATATCATTCAGACTTTATAATATATATATCTTACTCTTTAATTCTGTTTTGCCCCCTCCCCCTCCCCCTCTCTCTCTCTCTCTCTCTCTCTCTCCCTCCCCTCTCTCTCTCTCTCTCTCTCTCTCTCTCTTTATCTCTATCTCTATCTCTCTCTCTCTCTCTCTCTCTCTCTCTCTCTCTCTATATATATATATATATACAGCTCTCTCTTTGCTAGCACTGGTCTATACTGGGTGTTCTTTGAAGCCCATAACAGTTGGACTGTGTGGTTTTGGATCCTCGGTGTAATAGTAGCTTGCTTCCTACCAGACTATATCTTCAAGACCTACTGCTACTACTATTATCCCAGCAGAGCGGTGGTTGTTAGGGTGAGTATTACAGGGGGACATGAAAGTAGATGCGTGGGACTGTGTAGGGTTTTTATTTGATGTTGCAAGAGTGTTGCTAGGGTGATATTTTACGGCAAATCATTATTTGTTAATTATTTGCACAGGTCTCGGTCCTTTAAAATTCCAGGAATTCATTAGATGTTTGGTAAAGTGTTGTGCAAGTAAAACATGTATTTGAAGATCACCCAAGGGAGAACGCAAATGGAGAGTTTCAACATTATATGTTTTTTATCTCCGTACTAAGCAATTTTGCCTGCTATAAGTGTGTTGTCAAAAAAATATCTTTTCACAGATGATTACGGATCTGTGAATAAAATTTGTGAAGTTCAAAACCTAAACTTTGTATTTTCTAGTGGAACATGGTCATTTAGGGATTCTGTTTCATCAACCCTTGTACTATCAGCTGAGAGCCAGAACGGCATTAACTCAATACTTTAACACAGAGTTAACACCCTTCTGTCTCTCGACACACAACCAACACGAAGAAGTGTTTCCAAATATAAACAGCAGCAAATGATTATTATGGGCATGAATATATCTCATGAATTGATTTGTCCATGGGAATATATAGACTACATGTAGCTTGACTCATTGTGTAATGTATTTCTTATTAAGACGTAAAGTCCAGGGTGTTTTGTCCCTTATGTGAAGGACTACACCAAAGGTTTTCATTCACCCGATAATCGTATGAAGGTGATACCTCTACTGTAGCTTGGATTAGACAAAACATGAAGGAAACTGGTACTTTGAAAGTTGATCTTCAATATGCCATTATACTTTGTAATGTACACAGTGTTTGGGATTTTTAAAAAAATGATCAAGGACTTGGGTCTTGCAGTTAGGTCTTTAAAAAAAAGATGTATTGCCCTTTGAGACCAACTCAAAAATCTTGAAATCTACGGTCAGCTTTTTAATAAAATAAAAAAATTACCGTTTTTTATAGAAAGAATGTAACAAAGCATGAAAAATAGCAGCCCAAAGAGGTAGTAAAAAGAAAGAAAAAAAAGTTTGAAAAAAAAAATTCTGACCGACCGACTGACCCATGTTTTTTGAGACCTAAAGGGCAATACAACATCTCTTTATTTTTGGAGGCCTTATATTGATGCATCAAGTCTAATTCACATATTCACCAATATGTCTAAGGTTTGATGATGTATACATGTACGTGTAAGATGTTCCTCATGTGTCAGCTAACCCGCCCATTTATCTTCCACAGTTATCTCATCTCATATCCCGAGTCCTACAAGTGTTTGACAAGCTAGGGTATCTAACTTCTGTATTAGAATGATTCGCATCCATCCCCCCTCCCCCTCCCCCTCCTCCCCCTAGTGCTTTAGCTTGTAACCTGGTCTGATGTGGTTTGTTTAAGTTCTAAAAGTCTGTGCCGAGTTATGAGTTGGTCTAGTAACTCAGTTAGGATTGAGTTGAATTCATCATTAAAAGTGTTGGGTTCTGTTCCGCAGAGGGTCGTGCAAGATGTATTGCAATACTCTAAGCAAATCTGTACACATACATTAGATATTGTACACAAATAAAGATTGTGGTGATAACTGATCACAACTAATGAGCTTTATTCTACCAGAGCTTGGTCAATGAGTTGACTTGATTCATCTTGTAGTCTAGTTTGTGTTTGGCTCTGCTCATACATAACCTTCAGTTTGGTGAGTGCAAGACTGTTTCAGGTTCTCGAGATACAGCACTACCTACGATGTACCCCCCCCCCCCCCCCCACCCCCCTCTAGCTTGTGAGGCTGCATTCTTGTATTAAACAAGAATTAACCCTAATTTTTTGTTTGAGATTTACAAAATGAATGGAAGTTTGAAAGACGCATGGCCCGCTGTTTTGCGATAACTGCATGAATATGTATGACACATTGATGTTAACAGAGTGTTGTGTATTAGGAAGTAGGGAAAAACATCCTATCCAAAATGGATGCAATTTGTATCCCATGGTCCCAAGATTCAATAGCGGAGATTGCTGCTTAAGCTTCTCCATGTAATCTACCTACTTGTCAGTTCATCCCTGCATTTGACCTTTGACCTTGCCTTACAGCAGAAGTTGTAACCTTGCTTCAGTATGTTTATCTTGGAATTGTTACCCTTGAAGCATGAAGAAGAAGTAGACACTTGTTTGGATCCATTGATTCACAATTCACATTTATTTTAGTGGATGTTTATTGTTATGGAAGAGTAGCAGTTTCATTTCAGTATAAAAGCATGAGGATCCAGTTTAATAGAATCAATGTGATTTTAAGTATTTACGTATGAGCACACTGTAACAAAATGTTTGCAGTCATTTAAAACAGAACTTTGTATTCAAAGTTTTTGTTTGATGTTGTTATTGTTTGACTACACAGATGTCCAGCATAACAAAACTATGATCGATTTCTAATGCTTAAAAAAAAACACCACAGTATAGACCTACCAGTAGTCTGTTTGAGTTTGGTATATGTACATGTTCATATAGGGTAAGGAAAGAGGGATCTAAGTTTATCTGTCGTATGGACAAATCGGAGGAGGATCTCTTTGCGATGGACACAAACAGAGAAATGACATTCAATATGGATGGCATAATTCGAAACGGTTCTCATGTTTGGATGAAAGATATATTAAAATGTCAAACAGTAATAATCGTAAGCGTTGCAGATTTTTGAAATTCTAACGTTTGAAAAAGATGAATTGGAGAAAAAAACTGCAGCTCTTTGATTTATGTTATTACTGTTTATCTATGGATAGTTCCATTCATCAATTATAAGATTTTGTTTTTGTATCTCCTGTCAGATGTTTTTAAAAGCTGACCTACAAGTACATTTACATGTACATGAAGAAGAAGGTATAAACAAGGTGATGGCTTTAATATCACATTAATATTGCATGTCAGCATTTGGGAAGATATTATAGCACGTAATGGTGAAAATGTTATTAAAGTGACTCGGTAACATTGTTGAAGGTTGTTGATTAAAAAATTGCGTAATTTTTGTATGAGATGTTACTTATTATCTTCCTCCAACTGTACTTACCCTCTAACATGCAAATAATTTAGAAAAAATTCTCAAACCACAAAGATATTAATGGCTTTCTAGGAAGGCCTCACTGTGCAACACCCTCTAACAGTGATTAACAGTAAATTCTCCCAACCATTTTTAAATTTTCCAAACCATTTTCCCATGAAAACAAGACAAAAGACAGGTTTTTAAAAATCTTTCAACACTTAAATGTCTGGAATGGTATATAGAGCCAATTCATTGCTTTGTGACAATTTACATTCACCTGAAATGTAATTAAATTGTCATTATATAGTTGGGAGAATTAAGGTATCGATCAGATCACTTTTTCCCAATTTCATCGTTAATAATGGTCTGTTTTCACTCACACTTTCAGATTATCTTTAATTGTACATCTAGCATTGAAGTCACTACCTTAACACCATTTTCTCTCATCTGAACAATGTTACCAAGTCCCTTTAATATTTCCGACAAACAAACAAACAGATAACAAAAAAACCAACAACAAAAATCTCGAAAGATATGAAAGTATGCCAGTGATGGTCCAAAGCAAAATTATATTAAACATGACATGTAGATACAGTGTGAATCTTTTAATGTCGTTTTTAATTCAAAAGAAATTGCTAGGCAATGCAGGTAAAATGTTATATTCTATAGTTTTATATTCTCTATTTTTGAAGGGGTCCTCTATCCTAAATATATATATATATATGGCAATTAACAAAATTATTATTAGTTTTTATTATTCCATGAAGAACTTTGTCTAATATATCAACTTGAATGTTTTGTTGGAAAATGTTTCTTTAATTATCTCTCTATTGATTAATTGATAATGCACGTGCTTATGTAAGGCATAATTATTATGATCATCCCGAAGGATCATTGAATACATGCATGGGGTTACATTAATTGATTTCTTTCTATTGCCAAATGTATAATGGCAGATGCATGCTGGGTCATGATATTAGCCACACAGGTATTAAATGAAGAGTGTTTATTTGGTGATGGAAAATTAAAGGAGCTACATGATGAAACTGCCACTTTGAGAATTTAGTTCCCACCTTCTCTCTATGCAATGACCCCCCCCCCCCCCCCCCCCCACACACACACACACACCCTCAAGAGTCTGGTAGTTGCCCAAACTAAAAAAATGTAGACTGATCTGCTGCATGGAGTAGAAGTGAAATAGAAGTTTGAATGCCAATATGCAATCAATTCTTTTGATCTTGAAGATCCCAACATTTATTACAGATTTATGAAGCTTTGAAGCTCATGTAATGACTAACACTTACACGTATGTAATTGAATTTTTTAATGTTTAATTTGAATTTTTCTAAATGGATAATGTACTGCACAGATTGACATACCGGTAGCTTATAACCCTTACTGTACGACTGTACCTTGCATACTTTTAGCATATAAAGGGCGTGATTTTTAATGTACCTTTAATGGTAGCTGACTTTTGTAGTATGAGGAAAATTCTATTGATAGAATAATAAATGTATTAATTTCATCTTTATTAGCCAAAGACAATATTGATGACTACAACATTGATATTTGCTCAATAATCATATATCATGTGAAATATGTCAAAAGTTAGTGATCACATTGATATAGTTTTGTTTTTTCTTCTTCAACTTATATCAAATTTCGTAGATCTAAAATTTAATATAAATAATAATTTTATGTTAATGAAATGACCTTCCATGATAAAGTTATGGTGACAGTGGTAGAGAGTGCACTCTTTTTAGAAACCTCATATGCATTTAAACATTTTCTGTTGCTTTTCCCCACATTTTATTTCCCATGCATCCGCTACATGGCTTATTTACGCTGGTTTCCATGACGACCAACATCAATGCCTGCATGACGATATGTGGCATTTTGATTCCATCCCGATTCCTGCCATTTTCTTCACTCCCATTTTTGTCTGTTCTTCATTTCCAATACATGTGCACACTATCCTTCACTCACGTTCGATTTGTTCCCATTTTTGTTTGTTGGCTTTTACATCATTATGCTAAACTGAAATTGTTCTGGATTATTTTATTCAAAATATCTTGACAAATTCACAATTTATACATGCTACTTTACCTCATATGTTTAATTGTTTTAATTCACTTGAAATCACTATTTTAAATGAATTTTTGAGGTTCATTTACCATTTCATCTCCAATCCTAAATTTAACACCCTTATTTCACACGTTCTCATATTTGTGGAACACCCAATATTACATGATGCGAATACCAAATGGCACACACATGCACCTATAAAAATGCTTGGATTATTGTGATTGCACTCACATTGAATGTGTATGCACTGAAATTTGGCACCGCTTTTTCACAACATCAACACAATGCAATTGATTGCTGTCAACACCTTTGAAATCTTTCCACCTGTATTTTTATTTTTGTTTTCTGCTCACTCCAATCTCTGCCCTGCCCTGCCCTGTCCCCCTTTTTTCTTACGAATTGTGTCTTCTATCTTGCCTTCCTCCATCCCCTTTCTCCCTTCCCCCCTTCACCCTTCCCCCTTCCCTTTCCCCCTCCTCATCCATTCTCCTCTCGCCTCCTCCCCCTCCCCCTTTGCTCCCTGCATCGATCAAACCCTCCTGCTCCTATGGTGGCCTTAATGATGCAAATAAGCAGAGAAATGATGATGATGCATGCATGTCGTGCATTCGATGGCATCGGCGTCACTCTAGTCGTCTTGAGAACAGTTCGGATGCCGACATGACGCACAGTAATGCAAACCTAGGTAGGGGTCATGTGATGAGTCAATATCTCTCTCTCTTGTTTTCTCAGAAATTTCTTGAGGGTTGTGCTGGATTGCTTTTGAATGGTTGAAAGAAAAGAGCTGTGCATTTTATTTATCTTAGTTGCATGTAAATTAGTATGATAACTTTGGACATTCGTTGCTTTATTTCTGTATGCCATCATTGAATCATCAATTTTATTTATTTATCCATATTTTTAGATTTTACTGTTCTCTCCAAAGTTGTCAAATTCTGTCAAGTGCCTCCTTTTGTGGAAGTGTTTTAAAAAAAAATCTTTGCATTGTATCTATCTGTCTGTTTCTCTTTCTCTACCCCTTTCTCTCTTTCCCATTCTCTCTTTCTCCCTCTCCCCTTTCTCTCTTTCTCCCTCTCCCCTTTCTCTCTCTCTTTCTCTCTTTCTCCCTCTCCCCTTTCTCTCTCTCTTTCTCTCTTTCTCCCTCTCTCCTTTCTCTCTCTCTTTCTCTCTTTCTCATTATCCCTCTCTCCTTTCTCCCTCTCCCCTTTCTCTCTTTCTCCCTCTCCCCTTTCTCTCTCTCTCTCTCTCTCTCTTTCTCATTCTCCCTCTCTCCTTTCTCCCTCTCCCCTTCCTCTATCTTTCTCTCTCTTTCTCTCTTTCTCATTCTCCCTCTCTCCTTTCTCCCTCTCCCCTTTCTCTCTCTCTTTCTCTCTTTCTCATTCTCCCTCTCTCCTTTCTCCCTCTCCCCTTCCTCTATCTTTTTTCCCTCTCTCTTTCCTCTCTCTCACGTTCCCATTCCCTCTCTCTCTTTCCCATTGCCTATCTCTCTTTCTCTGTATACTCCTTTTCTGTGAAGATTGGCTCCTATTCATTTTTTTCTAAAAATAGATGGGAACAGAAATTCCCTTTTCCCCTCAATTTTTATGTTCTACTATTATTACATGTAACTTGTTTCATTTTCCACACATTTTAATTCTGACTTTCAGCTAGTATTATTTGTTAGACTGCTATTAATTTAGCTAAAGTGTATAGTTTGCCTGATGCCCTAATACCCTGATGCCCTTGTTGTGTGCTTATTAGTTTATACTTTCATCAGAGAGATAATTTCCTTATTTACGGTATCCTCTACTACAAAGTTAACATTAGTTCTGGCCCCCTACTGACAATACATACAAGCGTATGCTTGTCTATATTAGAGAATAAAACCTACAATTAACAACTGAATTATTCATACAATTTGGACTGGTTGAATAAGATCTTTTGTTGAATACTTTTAAATGAGAGTTTTGATATGTCACACTCGAGAGAAAAATAAAAGGGGGAAAATCAATTCTTCACATACCAAAACAATTACAAACATTGGCAAGGGTAATAATAATTTAGTTGTTATCTTTATGTGCTTTAAAGCCCCTCATAAGTGTTGGGAGCTCCAAATTCGCCAAAAGTTTGATGGCAAATTTCATTTAAATTGTATCATAATGTGAAAGAAGATGTCATTCAAGACATGCTTCTGCAAAGATTTTCCCCCAAAAAATGTGTTTGAAGACAAATATATAGACAAAATTTGGGTTTTCTGTCGAATGCAGAAAACCTAAATTTTGTACTCTTTCATCAATATTAGACTTTAAACACATTTGTTATGAAAATCCTTGCAGAAATGTGTCTTAAATGACACCCTCTTTCACATTATGATACAATTTAAGTGAAATTTTGCCATCAAATTGTTGGGGCTGCCAACACTTTAGAGGGGCTTTAAGTGGTATTCATTATGTGCTTGTTGTAATTTGTATTTAGAAGGTAAAGCTAATCAATCCATGTGCCTTTATTTCTTCTCCCCCTGCTCTGCTCCCCCCTGCCCTGCCCTGCCTTGCTTCAGTTGCGAGTGGCATGTTTGGTGACACAGAGTTGTAAAGAGCCTAGCTTCCCCCATTGCTTCCTGTACATAGAGTATGTAGTGTGTAGTGTGTGAATTTGTTTTAGAGGTACAGCATTAACACTTAATATTGCACGTTGAAAGTGGCATTCTAAATAATGACTGTGAAGCATGTAATCTGGGATAGACCAACATTTTTGAAAAAGGGGCACAATTCCAAAATATTTCTGACAAGCACCCCCCCCCCCCCCCCCCCCCCCCCACATACACACACAGGCAAATATAAAAAAGAAAAGAGAAGTCATCACTTTTTAAAGGGGTCACATTTGTGTATTTTTTTGCATATCATTTGGGTTTCAAGAGGGTGGGCATGGGACAATAGTGCCCTTCCTCCCCCCCCCCCCCCCCCCCCCCCAAAAAGAGACCAAATTGTGCAAAATCATTCATTTAATTAGCATTGCATTATTTATAATGTTGAATGTCACTTTGAGCTTGATGTACACCCTTTTTTTTGTATTTCTTACCTTTTGGTTTGGCCTTTAAAAGTGTGTGTTCATGCATGAAATCACTTTGCATGTATTTATTTTGACTGATTCTCGCACTTTCATCTCCTTAATGCATTTTGAAACTTTGGAATTTGTAGAAAAAAATTGGAAAAACTATGAAGCTTAATATATTTTCATCATGAAATGTAGATGTGTTGGTATTTGGTAATTAACAAGGCTTTTTAATCCTTAATTAGTCATGCAGTAGGAAGGGTTAACTTAACAATATCTATGGAAAAGAACCATCAAATATACCTACAAATATATTTACAGCTGTATCCCAGGTTAAAAATATCTGAACTGTAATTTTGCGTAGGGTCTATTTGAATATTAAAGTCACTAAGTGATCTGTGTGTGGTTTGCAGTGCTGTTCTGCTGAGGCATAATTTCTTGTCTTTGATCTGATTTGAAACTTTGTCTATCTGTATCAATCATCCATCCTGCCTCCGATGTATGCAATCTGTGTATCTTCCCTTGTAGTTAACTCTATTCAGTTTTCAAGCCATTTGAGTTTGAGTTCTTCGCATTGTGCAAACTGTATGGATAGGTCCACATGTGTTCATGCAATTGAAATTCATCAAACACATCAAAAGATATTAAAACAAATCAGTATGAATTAAACAATATAAATATAACAATATTCATGTTTATGACACTGTGTATGAAGGGTGGTGGATCGTTTTGCATGTAAAAGAACATATATACTCTGAATTTAAAGTAAAGCATACACACCAACAATAGCTAGACAGCAGAATGCCAAAGATTTGAAAAAATGGTCTTTAATTCACAATTTGTTGGGCAAAATTGAAGATGGAGTTGATAAGGTTTTGGTTACGAAATAAGAAAGGGTAAGCTCGTAGAAGTAAAGGAATGATAATTTCCTTACCTGAAAACTTTCCAATTTTATGAGGGTATTATTTTATTTTCCATTTCTGTACCACATTTATGAAATACACCCCCCCCCCCCTTCCCTGAGAAACAGGTATCAATTTACAGCTGCTGGGTAAATTTTGCTCTCTGAACTTCTTGGGAGCTTGTCATGTATCTTGCGAACCAATGATGTTTCTCAGATGTTTTCTTTCTCATTAGTTTGTGACTGCATCTTTCTTCTTGGAGCATTCAGAACTCTTACATGTAAATGCGTAATGATTCATTGTTACCCTATTTTGTCCAAAATGTTGCGTATACATGCATACAATGGAGTGCATCTTTATACATCTACAATGCTATACATATCTTATTGTCTGTCAATTGTTCATACTTGTATTTCTAATTTTGCTCATTTTGACATTCATTGTTTTAAATGTTTTTCAGAGATTAATACTCATTTTAATGTTATACATGTTCATATGCCTAGATTGTTAACATTTTTGACACATCTTCATTTTCATCACATCTACTTGTACATGTACATGTAGTTAGTTTGCCAATATATTAATACATTTTCTATTATGCATCTGATAATTGAGGTTTGGTTTAATCATGATTATATCATTAACTTCTTGATTGTGCATGCTGTTTGTAAATTTTGTATTCTTCTTGGTGAAATTTTAGAAGAAAGCTTACTTGATTCTGTATGATATTTATAATAAATAGGATATTGAAAGATGAATGTAGGCTCATGTAGCAAGATTACATGAATGATATGTACGTGCATGTGGTAGACATGTTATTTAAAATTTGTTTGATGAAATGGAAATAAATTTTATGTGTTGTTTGGATAATTTGAATCCTGTACCATAAGATTTAGTATGAAATTAGTATTAGAAGTATTTAAAGGTTGTTTTGTAACGGCAGGTTTCAAATCGGGAGGGGCATAGTGCCAAAATTTTCTCACAATCAGAATTGGAGATTATTGCTAAAAAGAAGAAAATATTTGCAAATCAATTACGTGAATGACCTTTAAACCAATCATTTTAGTAAAATTATTCATTTTCAGACATTTTTACCGCATGGTGGTGGAATTAATAAGAAGAAAAACATGTATAGTAATATCTTCATGCTCTAGAATGTTGATGCACGAATGAATATATACTCTTCATTTTCATTTAATTTGCTTACATTTTTTGTATGTTTGTGTGTGTGTCTGTCTTTCATGTTAACAGAAACCATCTCAAATACTCCAGACACGCAGCAACAGCACACAACCTCTGCTGCTAACTTGATCTGGGAAGAGGTATGTAGTCCCACACATACAAATTCATGTCATGATGAATGTTTTATGTGTAGTCCCATATATCTGAAGTTTTGCATGGCCTTGTTGATCTAGCTCTCCTAGTAATTTCATCAGAGAAACTCTTCTGCTAATTTGATCTGGGAAGAAGTATGAAGTCCCACACATCCAAATTTATGATGGATTTTTTTATGTGTAGTCCCATGTACCTGGTTTTGCGTATAGCTGTTTTCTCAAGAGTTTCACATCTTATGCTGATTGTAACAAGGATATCCTCTGTTGAGAGACAGAAGGATGTTACTCTGACATAAATAGCTACAAATTAATGACCTTCTGACTGTCAGGATATGATATTAAGTGTATATCATGCATGCAAACTAATTTCTATATCAAGTACTCTTGTATTTTCACCAATGATTTCTTTAACCTTAGTCATGTATCTCTCAAGTGAATGCACAAGCACATTTATAATTTATAATTAATATTTTGTTTCATTTTTACATGTTGCACATAAGTGTTCATGAATAATTTTCTTACACATCTGTTTTGTTAAGTCTCTTTATAATTACAAACCATTTTAGAACTTGGAAGATATGAATAGAATTTAAAAACAAAGATATTTTTAGAATTTATTTTAATAGCAATTTGTTCGTGAAAAACTATAAGATTTCAATAAAATATCTTGGAATTAATACACTGTACCTAATGGATGTAGATCAAAATCCCCCTCCTCCCGTTTATGTGGTGATATACGCTCATGTTAATGTTTTCTATAGACGTGTGTCATATGTTCAGTACACTCATGCTTTCCTGAATGATTGTGTCAATGTAGGAATCAGAAACAAAACTGAATTGTAAAGCTGCAAAGCATGTGCCTCTGAAAGAAATGTACTTCAATTCATTAAACTTACCTATTAAGAATATATATTGATTTTAAAAATCACTCTCATTTTGTCCTTCAAAATCCAATCATGTAAACCATTGTCTCAGCAATCCGTTGTCACGCAGTTGTTCTCAATGCATCTGAAATACGTGTAGTTGTTGAATCGTTGCTGAAAGTTGATAAAGCCATTTCATGAAAACTTTCCATTATCACTGCAAATGTTAAACATGACAGCTACATGTATACTGTACCAGTGTTCGTATTCATGGGCCAACAATCATACAACTGCAGGTTCCGCAAGAACATTGCTGTAAATCACAGTTTCCCTTTTCCCAAGTGTGTGAGAGAAACAAAAGGGGCAAAATATTGCATTCCTGTTCTTCCTATCTATCTAAGTACAGTCTTCCGGTTCGGAGGTTGATTGCAACATCTCTCCATTTCACTCTATCTTCTGCCATTCTGGTGCACTCTTGCAGTTTTAGTCCACTCCAGTTCTTGACATTCTCTTCCTAGTTGATTCTGGGTCTCCCTCTAGGTCTACTTCCTTCCACTCTTCCTTCCAATACATCCTTTAAGAGGCTTTGGTGCCTTTTTCTTCCTGTGGTGCTTAAAATAACCCTTTTTTAGCTTTCCGCTGCTGACCTTTGAAGAGCATGAAAATGTGAACAATAGTACTGCTACTATACAGTCAAACCTGTCTTACTGGCCACCTCTAGAAAGGCCACCTTCCTATAGTGGCCATACATGTATATGTTGCCTACCTCGAAAAAGAAATGTGTGTTGAAGAACCTGTCTAGAAAGGCCACCTGTCTACAGTGCCTACTCTCTCCATTTCCCTTGTGTGGCCTTTTATAGACCGGTTCAACTGATCTGTTTTTGATCTGTTATTATTGTATATTGTTGTATGTTGGAAGCTTGTCGAATAAAAATCAATCAAAAAAAAAACCAATCAATCGGCTGCTAATATCACAGTTCCTTCTATTGTACCATACGCTTCTGACAGACCTCTTTTCCCCTTCTATTGTTGAGAATACTATGGTATTCCTTTTGCTCTTTTATTTTGTACAAAAGTATGGTATATGGTACTACCTTTGCTGCTTTATGCAGTACTTGGCTGTTCTGTCAGTTTCTCAATAAGCTACTGATAAATGTTGTTGTACATGCAGCTCTACATGCAAGCCTAGAGTGCATGTATACATGATGGTGGCAAAAGTTGGGTGAAATTAGAGAGCTCATTTCGACTCTACTGTCAACTTTTGTTATTGAAAACAGGATGGTGTATGGAACTGTTATTGCTGCTGTAAACTTGGCTGTTCTGTCAGTTCTTCACTTGGCTATTGCTTGTGTATATTATGCAAGCTTAAAGTATTTTCTGTTATGAATGACAACAAATTTTTCCCTCTCCTCCATAGTTGACAATTTAGGACTCGCCCGTAGATTGTAATGAAGTGATTAATTGAACGCAGTCATGTGTGATTTTTTTCATTGACACTGTTTTTTGGGAAATGTGGTGATTTGTTTGAGATGTCTTTTCCTCGCTGGGAATACTCTATTGGAAATGGAAGAGTGCACTTGCATGTATGTTATGTCTATTGTCTTCTTTATGCCTTACAGTACTTCTGTAACTCAATTTGTAATTAGTTTGAATCTGTGTGGTATAAATGTATATGTACATTGTTACAGTATGTGCAGCCTTATGAGTTTCATAAGAATTGATGTGTGTAAGTGTACATGTACAGTATCTTTTAAACATTTATTTTGTATTTTAAAATTGTTTTTTTTTTTTTCTTCGCCCTTTTATGATTTTTATTTAAATGCACAGTCTTGTGTTTTAACATTTACAGTGTGTGTACCTTTAATGTTTTTCTTTACTGTTTTTAAAGGTGTCTTCAAATGTAAAATAATGTGCTCTGTAGTATGTGTACATGCCATTGATGACAATGACCTTGTAACACAATGGTTAGCAACTGTACAATCTCTTGATTGTACATAGTGTTCAATTGCAAACTAGCAGTTACTAACTAAATCTCTTTGTTATGGGGTGCAACTTTATGGGTGTATCTCCTTTTTTTAAAACAAAGTGTACAGATTTATAGGCAAAGTAGGGACCGTACAGTGATCTTTTTATGTATTTGATAATTCATAGTATTTGTAACTAAAAAGGTATACATGTCACATCATTTAAAATTTGGTGACTTTTAACACTTCTCTTTACCTCTCAATTTTTCTAGTCGTCAAACAAGACATCGTACCACAACCCTAGTGTTGTCATGGAGGACGGACTGCCCCTAACGACCTACAAGAGAACCTCCAGCTCCCAGAAGGCTAATAATAACACCGACTAGCAATTAACAACCCTCTCCAAGCAACCTCATCCACCACTTAGCAACAAATCAACAACTAGGCAACAAGCTTGGTGAGGGAGAGTTGCTGGAGATCATCAAAAACAGCTCCGAGGGCCAACACAAACACCAATTCCACATTCCTCACCAGGCAAAAACATCATCATCCGTCGCTAGGCAACACATCCTAAACTAGGCAACAGGCTTGGTGAGGAAAGGGTTGCTGAGTCCATCTCCACAGGGAATGAAGTAATTGCTTTAAATACAAGATGGATTCGTTCCTGAATGTTGTGTGCTGGGCTGTGGGGGAAACGAATTCTACCAAATATATTAGCATTCCTTACCAGGCAACATCATCTATTGCTAGGCAACAGATTAGTTGCTAGGTAATTGATGAAGTATTGCGCGACAAATCAACAACTAGGCAACAGGCCTGGTACGGAAGGTTGCTGGAGATCATCCTATCTGAGTGATTCTTTAAAGGTATAAGATGAAGCGTGTTCTTATGTTGTGTACTGGGAGCTGGAGAAAAAATGCTACTGAAAAATCAATATCCCTCTCCAGCCCACATGAGCTGTTGCTAGGCAACATATCAGCTACAAAGGGAAGAGGGACGCTGAGATCATCGTAATGGGGAATAGTGTTAATGTCTATATGGTGGTTGAATTCTCATATGTTGTGTGCTTGGACTGAGAAATATGTGTTGGAGTCACGATTACATGTTGTACAGCAACGAAGGAAGTATATGGACTAAGAGCTTTAGCCTAAACGATGTTCAAATCCTCTGATTGACACTACAAACTTTTGCATGCAGAGTGGACCTAATTCATTTTAGCACTGCAATCATAGTGCTGTGAGAAGAATTTAAGAGACACCTACTCTGCTCATCACGTGTGCATTTACAACTCATTGTCACAATACCAATTTGTTGAATTATAGTGTGATATTCATAATTACAGCTGCTTTAACGATTGATGTCTTTCACATGTTCTGCCTTTGATGAATAACTCAAAGCCTAATAGTCAACCAAAGCTCTCTTTCTTAATAAGTGTTTGTAATAATTCCAATCCACGAAGGTACATTATGATCTGATCATGTGTTTTGCCTTTGAGGAAAAAAATCAGCAAACCTATACAACAAAGGTTTGACCAAAACTGTCTGACATACATGTTTGTAACCATTTGTTTCAAAAGAGATTAAATGTTATCTGTGTCATAGTCCACCGTGGGAAGCAGTTATTTTCAAGTTTAAGAAACATGTTCTGATATGATATATTTCAGGTACCAATTTGTTTCATCAATTGAGTCATTTTTTTGTGCTTTGTATCACGCCCACAGATATACCTGTATATTGTACATGAAAAAGTACAATGTTAAATGTCTAAGCAATAACCGTGCCATATTTCAGATATGCTGTACAGATGTAGCAGGAATATTAATATTTTTCATGATTATTCATGATGTTTTCCTATTTTTATTGATGATGTTCAATGATCTACTCAAAGCTTGCTGTATTCAGTTTCATAAGAAAATTAGTACAACTTAACAAAATATCTCTTACAAATTCTAATGAGTTTGATAGATCTATATCCAGCCATGGTGGAATGACACAATGAGAGTATATTTCTATTGATTCATTCTTTTTATTTGAACAATAATTATCTGTGGCACTACATGTACTTACTCCTTCATCTTACATGTATATTGAGCTGTTTTTTGTTTCCTTTCTTACTTTTGAATGCCTTATTGAAATACTTATTCGAGTTTTTCTTGCATAATCTTCTTGCAGACTTCAAGTGAAGGTATGCAGTTTGTGTCTTTGATATGCACTCCATTTTGTCAGATTCAGGACCTATTTCTCATATAGGCCTTGAAGCTAGACTGCTGCTGCCTCACATAAACAACCTGCCTAAAAGGACTTTCAAATGATGTGATTTTATAAATCTTTTGATCTGTTTCTCACCATTTATATTTCATAATAGTACTTCAGTCATATTCATTCCTTCATCTATGTGTCTTATATACTTTAGCCTCATGAGAATCAATCGTGTGTGAACAAATCTCCTCGTGGAATAATCAGAAACTTGTGTCTTTTTAATAATTACCTTTCATCTTTCATCACTTTATCAATCATGTATGTTGTTTGTACGTTGTATGATTAATCTTCTGTGTTAATGTAAGAATCCATTCATTGAGATCATTTTTGTGTACCATTTTGTGCAATTTTAACTAGTTTTATTTTTAACCACATAATTAATGATTTATAAACATGTGTGTACCCAATAGATTATGTTATATTCATGTACACTCAAACTTGTCTTAGTGGCAACCTTTCTATAAAGGCCACCTGTTTTTAGCGGCCAAGCATTTTGTCTCCCTCGAGTAAGAAATGTGTGCTATAGAACCTGTCTAGAAAGGCCACCTGTCTTCAGTGGCCACTCTCTCTGTTTCTCCTTGAGTGGCTTCAATAGACAGGTTTGAATGATTAGAGCTAGAAGGGAGTTACCTAGGTATATGGTTGAGTATGGGAGCTAAGGCCTTCCTTGCTCCCATTAGTTGTTTACATCAGATACTTTTACATTCCACCTGCAAATCACAAGTTAAAAGTTACAGGTATTATTTAACATTTTGTTTAAAAAGTTGTGCCTTGTTGAATTGAGCAAAGATCTGCAAATTTGTATGTAATTATACATGTATATGTTCACCAAAACATAATTAATGTTTAACTTTATAAATCATTTAGATATTTACATATTATATACCAATCAGTACTTAGTTGATTTGCTGCTTTATAAGTTGCAATTGAAAAGGGTACATGTACATGAATGAGTAATTTTTAATGACAGCTCGACAATTTGTTGTAGTCTTCTTTCTTTCTTTTTTTTTCCATATAAGAACTAGCTATTATTATTATTATTTATGGTAATCTTACATTGTATGTGATTGAGAAGTTTGCTTTAGACTTTAAAAATCTAATATGTGTGTTTTATTTGTGTAGTTGTTGCTGTTTATTCTTTGCAACTGCGAACAATAGCAACTTCAGGTATCAACAAATAAGTGCTCGTTCATGTAGTGCTGGTCATTCTCTCATTTTGTGATAATGGTACATATACATAAAGTATTTCATTGTATGTAATAAGGAAGATTTTCAGTTGAACATACCATAGTCATTTACTATCAGCCATATTGTAGTTTTTATTTACTGAGGAAATCAGTGTACCTCATTGGTGAGAAAGAAAAACACATACTGCATATACAGACAATAGATTAAATTTGAAGTTGGTTATGCACCTGTACCTACAGATGTTAGGAATTATTTTTTATCCATGTCATCTTTAAATGTCCTCATTTTTACGAACCAATCAAAGAGATATGAAGAAGACCAGCCAAGGTTATCCATTTTACTTTGAAGACACTATAGAATAGCAAACAAAACTACATGTAAGGTATGATATTTATTGATTCAATAATCCATATTACTGGTTTTAAATAAAAGTGATAGTAAATAAATGAATATTTAAACAAAAATATATATACTGCTTTGTGACAATAGCTGCTCCATCATCCTTCATGAAGTACATTCCCAATCAGGATATCATGTACTTGTATTGATCAGTGCCTACCGTACTTGTTTATTTCAGTCGTTGTTTTCTATTTTGTATATGATTCTTGCATTCCACCCATTTTTGTGAATCTTTACAAAGTAATTTTGATAGATATATATTTTTCATGATCTTTAATTTGAATGCTAATATCATCAGTTTAGGGCCAGAAAGGCATTAACTCTGTGTATTATCAGGATGTGAGTTAATTAACACCCTTCTCGCTTTAAACATGTGTATAATTATGCTGATGTGTTTGTACATTATATACATACCATGCGTTGAAGATTTCAAGTACTTCAGGATTATCTCCTCTCTAAAGCCAAAAGGGCGTTAACTCATAGGGGGCTTGTAGTTTAAGCAGAGTTAATGCCCTTCTGGCTCTAAACAGAAGATATGTAATGTACATGTATGTGAAGATACTTACATACAATTTAACTGTAACTGAGTCAATTTAGTTTGAAAAGATTGTTTAGAGATTTAAGTAGTTGAGTGCCGAGAAGACGTCACTGCAATATAATTGGGTTGGATACAAACTAAGGTCTTTCTTGTTCTCAGCTGTAAATGACGGACTAATCCTGTGGTGTATAATTTATTGAAATTGTAGATGTTACAGATTTGCTAGATGAAATCAGATTATGCAATGTACATTTTACAATGAAACAGAGAATTATGGAATAAATTTATTTCTTAGATTATAATAAACCAAAGTGTTGAATGTGGTCTGTGTTTGAAGTCATTGAGCATTAGAGTTCCTAATCACACGATGTGATAAATCGTCTGACAAAATGATGGTATGGCAAGATAAAATGACAGGCATAGTGCGCTGCATTTTACATACCGGTAGGTATGTTTTTAAGAGGCAGCCGAGTGGGTGTGCTTAAGGGCCATTGTTACTTGATACTCCTTTTTTTTTCACCACTACTTATTTAATTACAGGCAGAATAGTTTTACTTTGCAATGACAATTACGTTTCAAGCGATCATGTAGGACAGATGCACCTGGCTATAACATACCCTCAAATCCAACTATATCACTGATAAACAGTCAAACTTGTACACAATGTCTCTCAATCTCTCTCTTTCTTTCTCTCTTCCTCCTCTCTCTCTATATCTCTTTCCATGATTTTCCAATTTAGTCTTTTTCAGTACTTCACCCACACATGAAAGAATACCTCCCATTCCTAATCCTTCTTTCTTGGCAATGCTGAGTACATTTAGTTCTTAATAAGGCAAGATGACAGAATACTTCTCCCTTCCTCTCTCTCTATACTCTTCTATCCTCTTTCAAATGATACTTTTTAGGACTATTAAATGTAGTTTTAGAAAGAAGTTGGTCGCATTAGATTATGTTTTCTTTTCAAAATGAAATTTTTTCATTATTATTATTATGGCGACGTATATCATAATGCTAAATATATTACTCAATGCGGATGTAGTATCAAAAATAGTATCGCTAGTGATATTTGTTGGTCTCGCAATGTATGGTCAACAAGGGATTTAAAAAGATCACAACGTTTCGTGCACTGCTGCAACACTTCGTCAGGTGATAAATATTGTAAGCAAGCATGTTTTATACTCTACAGGCGGATCCGTTGCTCAGATAATTCTATCAATAATTAGAACAATAATGGACAAGGCCTATTGGCCGAAGCACAAAGGTGCTCCACCAATCAGCTGGCTTGGCTCACCTGCCGGGAACAATAGCGTGCTCAACCAATCAACTGGACGGGGAGTGTCATGGCGAGACAAACAAATATAACTAGCGATATTATTTTTGACATATGTCATGTTTGTAAAAGCTTACCAGAGGGATTCTCCATCTTTTAATTTGTATCTTCCTTAATCCTTATGTGTATCATTCCCCACTTTATAAATATACAACAGTTTGCTGAGAGCCAAAAGCTGGAATTAACCCTGTTAAACTAAAACTGTAAGAAATAAGCATGGCCATAGTAGCACAGAGGTCGAAAAGTAAATGGTTTTCAATCTGTAATATCAAAAAAATAATGGCATGTTCATGAAATAGGAAGCCACCGTTTGCTCAGCACAGTAGCGCTTCATTTCCTCACGCATTGATCTCCTCTTTCTAACCTATGGACACACAAGCATGTGCATGCTGACAAACAAGGAAAAGGGGCAACAATATTCTGGCTCTCGGCAGACAATATACAAAAACTAAAACTGGATCACTCCTTATATTATGTTAATGAAAATTTATTCAGATTATGCAATGATAAAACTTATATTCAAAATATATAGAATATACAATTTGTTCATTTAAATAGGTTAATTCAATAATTACATCGGTCTAAAATTTCAAAACAAATATCAAAGGCAATACTTAATATTAAAAATAGCAACAGAATGTTAAAATGTTGCTGCTAACACGCATACATGTACATGTACACTTTACAAGTACAGTCTATGTATACTGTCAGACCTGGAACTTTGGCCTGCATGAAATTTGTGAAAATTTCATGAGTGGCCCACATTAAGGAAGGCTTTTGCCGCAAAATGACCAAAACAGGTACAGTAGGCCTACTAATTATTCAGATTATGTTGGGAGAAAATGAGACGTTCATACTGAACCCTAATTTGAACATGGAACATGAAATTTCTACAGATTGACAAGTACTAACAATTACTTAGCAGTAAACATAACTACTCTTTCATAGATTAGTCTATGATAATATCCATATAAATATAGACGTTACAGAAAAACCCTAGATACATGTATAATTGTATATGTTGTACTTTGTTAATTTGTTTTCATACTCGTAACCTGCTACACTTCCACATAACAAGGAGAAAAGAAAAAAGAGCACACATGCAAAGAAATCATTGAACATGTATGTTCTATTATACCATAGTAAATATGTCCCGATTTCAGCACTTTATTAATTCAGCAATATTGGCAACCTCTACCCATTTCATACATGTTAGTTCAATTAAAAATTGCTCCTTTGGAATACAGGGATTAAATGCTTTGGGTATAGTCCTCTTAAATAGCTGTTGATAGAATGACATTAGTAAATACTATCTCAAATAGTATATATCTAGGGCATATATTGTACATACAAGAAACAAAAATTGGATGGAATTTCTTTTTTTTTTGGTGGAAATTAAATGGAAAGCTGCTTGCAAGGAAAATTAAATAGTTGCCAATTTGTGTTAGAAAGATCACAACTTCAAAATTTCATAGCATACACATGGCTGACCCGACCCCTGTTTCAACATATGCTCTGGCAAAGAGGCAACTGCTCCACACAGTTTTTCCAATCAAAGATTTACAAGTAGATTAAGGGTTAGAGTTGCAACTGAGTGTTGGGTTGGGTTTATAAGGGTTACGGTTAGGGTTGGATTATTTGTTAGTATTGGGTTGAAGTCAGAAATATGAAGGGTGTAGAGAGTGGGATATCAACCACGGAGAACATGTAGTTGCTAAAGCATGTGTTGCATTAGCATGGACATGTTAAGTACATGTAGAGCAGTCTGCACAGAATTTGATAATTAAATGGTTAAATAAATCTGTAATATGTAAATAATGGCATGATCGTGAAATAGGAGCCCACCATTTGCTCAGCACAGTAGCAATTCATTTTGTCAAAATCTCCTCCTTTCAACCCAATAGACATGCAAGTATGTGCGTGCGGACAAACGAGTTCTTTTTTTCAAAATTGCGTTATAGCCCAAAAGTATACTGTTGAGCATTGAATCACAAACAAATAAATGCAACTCATGAAATCTAGAAATTTGTACACGTAAAAAGATACTTGTAAGTGGTGTATACATCGTAAATGTAAAATAAACAGGAATTGTAGCTTTTTTAAATAATGAATTATATAAGCCTAATATATTATAGCACTCCTTTTTGATCCCCAGTATGAAATAAATGGAGCTAATACTCCCAACTTATTGAACTATTGCCACTGATAATAAAAAATAACAAATATACAGTAGTATGTAATAATATTTATGTAATGCAATAATGTTAGTTAGGAAACGTGTACATGACTGGACTGTCATGGAACTACAGTCCTTCACCTTGGTTGAAAAGGTCATGAGGTCATTTAATTGAAAGGGTCGATTTCCCATTGACAGCAGGTAAAAGGATAATGTAGATTCAGAAGCCAAAAGTTTATGAGGCTGAAGGTTTTAATCTCCAGACAACTAGTTACGCTATTCTTCACAAGACCAAATTTCATGACCTAGTGTTCCTTGGTTCTTCTCAGTAGACAACCACACAGACAAACAAACGACTCTTGATGGGTAAGCTTTTAGTTTACATACATGATGTTCTGGAGATGACTTCATGACAGTTCATCCACCCGTTGACACTAAGCTCAGAAAGGCGAACTGCCACAAGGAGGTCTCTCTGCAACTGAAGGATTTCCTTTGAACAGAGCAAGGAACAGCTTCTTCCCGGCATTCACATTCTCATGTATTGGCAATCCAACCGACTAGCTCCCTCTTTTGGTGGATTATTTGCAGCTTGTTTTGGTACATATGTAATTAGGTTTTTACAGACATGATTATTTACGTCTGGGACCGATCTTTAACGTCACCATCCCAAAAGACTCAGTTTAGAACCAGGCTTCGCCTGAGCCAGTTTGTAGGTGAAGACAGTGAGCTGACCAAGTGAGCGTACCGCTAGACCCACTCACGTCTCCCTGTTGCCTGTTTTAGTCACTGAGACATGAAGAAATCATAATTTTGGTTCATGTTTGTTTGTTGACACTCATGTCAGGTGGACATTCATCATAGGAACTCAAACTCCTCGTCTGAATTATTGTGAAAATCCTCGTCTGGGTACTCACAGTCACGAATTTCTAATCACAAAAGAAGTAAAGAGGATGCACTATTAAAACAATGCTTGGCATTACATTTTATAACCTAAGACCCACTTCTCAGTACCCCCCCCCCCCCCCTCTACTTTCTGATTCTTCTCATTGTTTTTATTCCCAGGTGAAGCAATATGGCATAGCAATGCCACATGAAAGGGATTGCTTTTGAAATGCCCTCGTATTCTACATATGACTAGAAATAGCTTAAAGTAGAAATGTTGATTGAATTTGTATCGTTGCATTAGGGAAGATTAAAACGAACAAGGTTATCGAAATTTCCTGTTTGGAAACATTCAAAGTAATGATTATTATCAATTTTAAAACTGTCAAACACAGCCCCACTTTCGCACTTGAAGAGCTCTCTGAACACTATAGGGGTTTGTGACTTCACGCAAGGGACCAAATTAGTATAAGCAGACGATGTCCCATAACAATGCACATGTTTTTAGTGCTTGTCTTGTCGTCTCCTCTTCACTTATTTCCCTTACTTCACCAATGTTATTCTAACTGTTTGGTCTGTTGCCTCACTCTATATTTCGGACAAGTTTTTATTTTGATGAAAAATGCAGCGTTTGAAAAATAAAGGAATCAGATATACCGTAAATCTCCGTGTATAAGGCGCACCCCTATTATTTATTTTTTTTTTTGGGGGGGGGGGGAAATTGTTTTTGTTTTTTTGTTGTTGTTTTGTTGCCGAAAACCCACGCGGGGAAGGACCTTCATTTATCATCGAGGTGTAGTTGAAGGCGCTGATATGTGCTTGTGAACTTGTCACAAATAATAGTAACAATGTCGTTTTTAGAAAAATGTGTAAGATCATTAATGTAAATTAAAAACAATAGAGTACCTAGGATAGACCCTTGTGGTACACCATTTGTTATAGAAAAAAAATTGAGGAATTATTATTAAAAACTACATATTGAGATCTATTAGAAAGATTACTTTCAAACCAAGATGACAGACAAATTTGAGTGTTGTTGTAGTTTCCGAGTCAACACACTGATTACTGAGCTGGGAGACATTGCCAGGCATAGCGCCATAAATCAAAACGAAAAAAATTCTGTACCTGTGTACAAGACGCACCCCCTGACTTTCAATTTTTTTCGGCGGCAAAAAAGTGCGCCTTATACACAGAGATTTACGGTACGGTAGCTTCACTATGGCATGTAACAAAGACACCATTGTACATTTAGATGCATACATGCATTTCATCAAAATAAAACCATGTCTGAAATGTAGAGTGAGGGAACAGATATTCTTAATCATGACTTACCAAAGCTGGGTTCTATTGAGGCACTGTTGGGCTCAAAGGGAGGCCAGTGCTTGGGTCTTGTTTCAGTTAACTCAAACATCGGACTCAGATCACCATCTGATATTACCTACAAATAGAAGAAAACAAACATATACATTGTTACTGTTAAAATCCATTCACAATTATAAAGATAGAAAGAGACCATACAACGAAATACAGAAGCAAGGTCCCCTTTAAAAAAAAAAAAATTCTTTCTCTGAAAGCTGTTTTTCTAAAAAGTGAGTTCATAAATCTGCATTTTAATTTCTTACTTGCATCAGATAGAGAGGTATATTTTATTGCGTTTAATAAAATCAATTGGTTAAACTGACACCAGAAACTGAAAGAATAACTACACAGTACATGAATGCATGTGATTGTCACCCCCCCCCCCCCCCCTCCCCCTTTCAGCATAAGTCTGGTGTTTAAAGTCAACACGGGTTGATCTTTGTTTTTTGCTACAAGCCAGAGATTTTGGGAACACGCATGCGGTCCCTCCGTTCCCCGGAGTGGGGGGGGGGGCTGGGGATTGTCAGTACGCAAATCTCTTTAACACATGAGAGAGAAGTACATTTATTTACATGATAATGCCCTAATAAATGACTACATCGTCACCCATTACATGTTCTATTGACTTACATATTGTATGTTACGGCACCAGCTGTTGAAATCATCCTCAGAGTGACAGTAGAAACCCTGTAAATAGCAACAACAAAATAGAATATATCACAAATGATAGTCCTTGCAATCACATACCTTAAAATACATACGATATAATGCAACATGTTTCAAACCTGTTTATAATGTAAAATTCATGCAAAACGTTGCAATAGATGCAAGCACTCCTGGCCAACTTAGCTTTGTTGATAAAGAGATTGACTTGGACTAGCAGTGCTGTCAGTAGTATGCTCAACTCTCTGTCTTAGCCTACAAAATGACTGACAGACCACAGTCATACATTAGTCACACCGCTGAACCGATTCCTTACTGACTCCAGGCTGACCGATTCTTGGCCATTAGAGATAATGTAATTGTTTGATTGGTCAGTTGGTCATTCTGGGGTTGGTCGGTCCTGTTTGTGTGACTGCAAAATTAGAAACCCAGTCACTTCTTTAGGATTATGACGTTACATGATGGTCTCCATCCAAAAACGATTGTTTCTGATCGATGCACATCTGTAAAAACCGAACTGCATACCTATTCTGATAAGTTTGTAGTCATTAAAACTCACCGAGGTAATGGATAGATCCAGGGTCATCTTTCAACAGATCATTGGCGTAATATAACCAAATTTAATGCATACGTCCTTGTGAAGTGCCTTAACACAAATATTTTTTTCACCTGCAATTAATAATTGTATTTCAATAGTCAGAATGCAAAATGCATATATACGCTTTGTTGGTAGGGTAAGCCATAATGTTTGTCCTGCCAGGGGCCAATTAATGTATGCAGTTCGCATTCTGACTATTGAAACACAATTATTTGTAACAGATGAATGAAATTATTTGAGGAACTTCACAAAAACATATATGCATTAGATTTGGTTACATTATATCATATATCGTTACTTTCTGAGTCTCCTGTACAGACTTGCGGACTGTTTGCGGATTGTTACTTTCCAGGGTCCCAGCTTACTAAGAGTTGCAATCTCCTATCTCTTATGTACATAGTTGCGACATTTGCGATTGATATCAACTCTTTGTAATACAGGGCCCAGGTCTCCTGTAAACACCTGCAGACTGTTTTTTTGTTGGTACTCACCAAGCCTATGGAAGGATCTAGGTTCTTGATAGGCATTCTACTAGCGTGTTCACAATGAAAGCTCTCATCTTGTAGAAAGGCCCATTTGTCGATGTCTGCAGCTGGCTGTGTTGTGTGTGGATCAAGATATACCATCTCATCACCTAAAGGAATCACACACACACAAATTTATTTTCAACAATAAAAAAAAATAATAATAAAAAATAAATAAAATAAATAAATAAATAGATAAAACGGTGCTTATAAAGCGCTTACCATCAAAGTCTCTAAGTACTGTAACAAACAAAATACAATGATAAACAATTACATATTAAACAAAACAAAAAGAAAATGCAGCTTGATGCATCCAAAACATTACCTGACATTGTAACACGTTCAAGGGATATCGTAATTAACGGTGTAAAAAACAACATATCCTGTTTTTTTTAATTTTCAATCATTTTCAAGGTGAAATACCCAGAATGTTTTCATCATAAGTTACAGTTATCATAAATTCACACCAAATTACAAAAGAACATATTCACAAAAATTAAAAAAGTAAGAGTCCCAAAGAAGAGGGCCATCTATGAAATGATATGGATTAAAAACAAATTACAGGGTATCTTCCATGAAAAATTCAAAACGTTTAGACACCCAGATGTCCTCCTGCCTAAGAACCGGAGCAGAACTTACCAAGTACCCCGATGAAGTAATGCGCATGATTTGGTTTCCCTCCTATCACCCCTAACGACTGCGGTAACGTGAAGCATCTTTTGAGTCTTTGCATATACACAGTGTTTATCTCATTCAGTCCAAGTCTGAGGGGAATTATTAGAAACAACGACCTCCACGACACGCCCCCGGGGGAGACACACGCCCCCTCCATGAGTCCATTGGGTAATTGAATGTTTGTATTCTCGGGGCTGAGCTGCATTTTGTGTCTAATGTTCTCCGAGGACGATGTACGTTTTCTCCTCTCACTGCCGGTCTTTGATCCTTCGCTACTCGTCTCTTCTGTAGTACTATTCACTGTGCACAGCTTCCCTGGAGGGTTGGACACCAAGACAACAGGGTTATGTAAACTGCAGGGGGGCGTTTCACAAAACTTGTCATCAGTGACAAATGACAGTTTTTGTTATAAGCTACTGAAATCCTTGCTTCTGATTGGTTATCAGCAGATTTGTCACTGATTTTGGTCATTTGTCATTGAAAAAAGGCTTTGTGAAACGCCCCCTATGGCTCCACGCTAACATTTTTTCAGAGGGGCAAAACCGGATTAAAAAAAAAATAATAATTAAAGAGTCTTTTTAGACATTCCTCTGTCACTACATGAAGTGGTCTTAAGAAGCCGGCAGAAAAACAGCTGAAGGGATTTATATTACAAACATTTATATGACAGTTTGACTTCGGTTATAGAAATGAATAGCACTTGCAAGAACTGAGAATTAAGCAAAAGCAAACCAAACCAGGTAATTATTCACAAATTGTGTCAAAACAACAATACGATTGCACGGCCCTCAGAGAGAACAGTATTAATACTGATGAGGCTACCCTGGGTAGAAAAGACATATTATTATTATTATTATCATTAAGTTCTCAAAGATAAACAGTTTGATTTGGACTGAACGACTTGGCATTATTTGTGCTCAAAACAAAGATGCAACAAGATCTACTTACTAATGTCTTCAATGACCACTGTGTTATCGAGGGCCACATGAACAGCCAGATCACTCCAGGAATCAAAGGGAGAGAGTTTCCTAATGACCTGACCCACCGTGTTTGGTCCAAACCAGTCACCGACCTTCTTACCCTCACCAACACCCATTTGAGCTGAAGGACAAAATGGAAAAGGAGATGAACGACCCAAGAATTATTTCTGAACAGACTACTGGTCATGGAATTGAACAGTGAAAGTGAAAATTTAGAAGACATTGAAAATGGAGAATTAAATACAAATTATTGCGTATTGCGAGGTTCTAGAGTCATCAAAGTAATAAGGAAATAGACTTGGTCTTGATGAATACAGTGTACCACAAAAACTGAAAAGCATTGCACAAAGATATGGGTATGTGGGACTGTATAAGAAAAGTGGTATCAAAAGTTTGAAACTATTTCTAGCCATATCTTGAACATGAGCATACTCTAGCAGCAATCCTTTCATCTGCACAAAGACATTCTTTCTGAAAGGATGAGGAAAGACATTGTATCACAAATTATAAGGAAAGAATCAAAAGGATTTAAAATGAGGGGAAAATACAGATGAGAAATAATAATATGAAAACTCTCCATGGCAGAAACTTTAGCTCTGATGGCAGACATCTCTGACAAGATAAAGAAACTGTCACATACCTATTTGGTGAATTGAGAAACAGCTGTCTTTCTTATCGAGGAAGAGTTGAAGAATTTTGAGGTATGTCTCGTCTTGCTCCTGAGGTCTCCATCTCCAATCTAAGAATAAAAGATGGAATTTGGTATAAATGGAAACATTAATAATTTAAATTTTAAGAAAATAGACTATTCCATCATTTACCCCTTCTCCTAAAAAAAGGAAAGAGTATCCTTCTTTCTTAAAGGGTAAGTCCACCCTGAAATTAAGTTGGTTTTAATAAAAGCAGAAAAATGAGAGGATCAAATTACTGAATATTAGAGCAAAATCAGATTACAAATAGGAAAGTTGAAGTTATCATCAGTGAAACACAAATTTGCCACACTGTGATGTATCATGCAAGCTCCTCTTCAATTTCCTCTGTACAGAAAATTTCATAAATTTTCATTTTCTTAGTTATGTATGAGGGAACAGATTGGTTGCATACAGGGGTTGTACAAAAACATATTTGCAATAATTTCATTCAGGTGAATGTATGATTGAAAAATTTCTTACAGGAAAATACAGATTTTTTTTGTTTGATTTTTGTACAGACCAAACAGGAAGGGAGCTCGTCACAGAGTTGTTGATTTGTGTTTGAATAATTGCACCTTCAAAACATCAAAAATTTCTTATTTTCAATCGGTTTTTACTCAAACTTTTACTGACCTGATTCTCCCTAATCAGTATAACAAATATTGTAACACAATGAAAAGAAAAAAAAATAGGAAGTAAGGAGGGAAGAGGGAAAGGAAAATGTGAAAAGAAGATGACAAGATACCCTTTCACATCCTCCCATCACTCAACAGCCATTTATTAAATGCATTTCATCTGCCATTTTAAGCACCCCCATGATACCAGAGCCCCGCCCCTCAAAGGCTGGACCCAGACCACACCACTGTCTGTACTGTATCCCTTTCATACCTCTGCCTAGATGTTTGTAGACTAGAGCCTGGGCTAGCATCATCTGACCGCATCGTAGCATGCATCCCCAGCCTTGGTCTGTCGTTGGCCCTGTTCCGCCTGCACAGGAGAGTGAAGAGATAATATCATCATAAACACAATTATCACTATATACAAATTAAAAATCACACTGTGTTTAACAGATCAAAAACCCTCTCAGAGTAAAAATCTTGGGATAAAAACAATGTTACTGTATAGATCTTCATTTGCCCTAAAAGAAATTCTCCTTACCTGAGAGGAAATCTTTACGACTGTAACATAATTCTTCTCGAATAGCTTGCACATTATATTTGTTATTTTCACTTTCAATGTATAAGCTATTGTCAGTGTGATTGTTCTTTCATTCAAATATGAAAATAACATGTATTGAAGAAAAAAATTGTACTTCACAGTAACTAATATAAAGCAAGTTGTAACTGATGCTAAAGCAAGCACTGCATACACTTCCATCTCAAAAGGTAGGAAAGCTACATGGAGTTGCAAGGAGGGAGAGGAATGTATCAAGAACACTGAGTAGGTAGGGGAGAGGGAGGGGAGGGGGAGAGGAGGGGGACGGCGTATGGGGAGGGGGTGTGTGAAGAAATTACAGAGAGGTATGATTCTTACCTATATTTGAGAAGCCTTTACGGTATGTGAACCATAGTCTGGATAGGACATCTAGCCTTGCTTCCAGCTGGTGCTGGCTCAGATCATACTTCTTCCCCAGGATCCAGATAGGTCCCTGGTCCGTGGGGAAGTCCTCGAAGGAAACCATGCCACTCTCATAGGTTGCACATGCTGCAGGGGAATACAAGACCAAATATGATATTTCATCAAACAGGACCAAGAACTAATCTCTTCATAAGTCTATGTGCAGCTTTAATGTAAGCACATCGGGAAATGATAAACAACATCAAGCGATCTACCCGTACATGTACACTGATTTTTTTTCCCCCACGAATGATTTTAGTCAAACATTCCAAGACGGCCATATTACAAACATACAGTTGTACCAGCACATATTCAGGTGGTACATGTATGGTCTCCGTCTGTATCCAAAACTGTTTTAGAATGTATCAATACATGCATCATAATATAAATACCATACATACATGTACATACATGTATGTCATGAAGATGCCTTGTCAGGGGGGGGGGGGTGACTTAAAGTACACAGCACTGAGTAATCACTCCCATAAAGATAGAATGCACTGACATTCATATTAACACAGGCTGTCCAAACTTCCCAAAGTACTTGAACTTAGAATGAGATTTACATGGGAATGGGTGCTCATGTTTCAGGCAACTTAAATTTGACAATTTTAAGATCTGACAAAAGTCTGGCCCAAAGTACAAAAGTCATCCACCTGTTTTTCACAAGTTATTCACAAGTGTTTTTAGTTGTATTACATGTAGTTTGTAAATTGGGTGACTGAAAAGGATATATTTACACAACTACATGTTCATGTACATACGATCTGTTGAATATTGTAACATTGTTTGACAGTGCAAATTAATGAATATTGCACAATACAAATCAAATGTTTAATCAAAACATAGTTCTCACAACTACACACATTTTACTTTATGACAGTATAGTTAATCTTTTTCTCTCCCCAAACACTATATACATGTACTTGCCTAAGTTTATACTTGAATACATATTTACATGAACAGGATAAAAAGACATAGTTCTTGGTGGTTTGAACAAAAGTTATGGTGCAAAGGTGCATAGAGTTATATGTACATGAACCGCAGAACCTATTAAAAATCCTCTACATGTTCTTGCGTGCATTGGGTACCGGTACATGTATGTAACACCGAGAAGTAATTGATCACAGATCAGTGATCAATAGACTTCAAAAACTGAATCCACGCTCAACATTGCCAGGCCGGGCTACACATTTTAGAACGGACTTTGTGAAACGATGCGCTGTTACTGTGCTTCCTGAATGAATTTCTTGGCTAGATGGTACACATGTATGCCAATTCTACGAATAATAGTGTGCACCACAGCTTGACTCATTGATGACCTCACAAAACATTACGCATGATTGCTGACGTAATCCACAACAATCCAATCCAACTTCAGACGGATGCTAGCAATAATGCATAAAAGTCCAGATAACATATAAGCATACAGTTTCCTCGCTCAATATTCAATGATTAAAGTTTGACATCTGAAATCCAACAGAAATCGCTGATTTGTAATATTTTGTCTATGCGTCCGATTCACTGGAATGAATGAGTAATCGAGTAGGCGGCCATCACATGATTAAGGTATGGGTATAACCCAATTTCACCAAAGTATTCACATGACAGGACCAAATATTGCCCTTGTCATTGTTCTGCTACAATTAATGCACTGAGAAGTATAACTGAGTCATTACACGTACAATGTATACATGTAATTAACAATATGTATATCAAAATATTGACTGATCAAAGTGCAGAATAAGGGCCCCAGTGTATTGTTGTCAACATACTTTGTATTTCGATAGAGAGATTAAGATCGGATATGATTAAAGGATATGAAGACCGTCATACTAAATGTGAATGACAGGCATGTACATGTACATGTATACTGTATGAATGTGTACTAAAAAGTGAGTACTGGTATACATGTATATATGTACCACTACCAGTAGCTTTAATGTACTGTACTGGTAGTTAATTTCATCCACTGGTTATTTTTTAATATAATTACATGTAATAGTTTAACAGTTCATTAGTCTTAATCTTCACATACAATGTAATATTATTTGTTTTAAATGTGTTTTTCATAAGTATAACTGTATACATGTTTACATGTACTGTATGTACCTGTACATGTGTAGTTTTATTCAATTTCATGTACGTCCTACTTTTCCAGTGTTTTTAATACATTGCATTTGAATGTTTTCAGTTATGTGTACAATTTTCAAGGAAGTTTGAATGTGACATAGATTCCTATACGCTTTAACAGACTGAAATGACTCTCCTCACTGCATGTGTTTTTCCTCAGTAAGCCTCGTCGACGGGTCAACAAAAGCGAGGGATTTCCCTTGTGGCTTCCTGTAGGAAAGTTGGCAACCCATCAATATCATTTCAATAATCATGTGACTTGCCTTTAATAATGAAAATGTTTTATTTATTGCTCCACATATTCTCTGCAACATGAGAACAAATTACAACTGACTGGACAAGTTGACATGCAAGCAGAAGAATTGTTACAAAAATACAAATATCATTAAAAGATAAAGACCAGTTATGGGCATGCGATCGCATTATAAAAGAAACGTTGTGGAATCAATCAGAAAAGGTTGATCATCTAGCATATACACTGTAAGTATTCGTGTGTACTGCAATGTTCTGGAATCATCAAAATGATAAGAAATTGGCCTAGTCTTGGTAAAGTAACAAGCACTGTACACAGAAAGATGTATATGGGACTACGCACTATATCTATCAGGTCCAAATAGATATAATAATTTACCAAATACATCAATTAGTAGACGGTTTCTCAGCAAAATTTGTATGATCACGTATTAGTCAAAACATATTCTTTCACATGATTGGTAATAGAGCTTCCATTTCATTTTTTGAGAGGGGGTGTTAAAGCTGATCTCTGAAAGTAGAGCTATTTTGATAGTGTAGTACATACATGTACAAATCTTCTTGAGGCACTTGCAAGCGATTTGAAGAAAATAGTTTTTTTAATCATTGGAAAAAAAGGAGAAAAAATGTCGCATGATTTCTGCAGGGAGCTACATGGACATGTACACATCTTCAAAAGGGAAAAGCAAGCAAGTAGATATATATATTTTTTAAATACCACTTGAAAAAATAGTAAGAGTTATAATTTGATCTATGGATTGAAAAATTTAATATTAGACATGTTAAATAAGAAATTAGTTCTAATTACACATCCAAAAAAAGTATTTTGGATGTAGTAACTATAATTCCTAACATATTAAAATACACCCTCACAAACCACAAAAATGTTAAAGATTTTCTTAATTTGTTCCTTTTCTCTGATGGAACATAACATAATGATTGGATGCAAACCAGTACACTGGTCCTCATTTTAACAATGAAAGGATGCTTCAGACACTGAAATGCACTGAAAATTATTTTCCTTGAATAAAATATCCTTTCAACCATCCTCTCACTTGCAACTTACTGCCTACAACTTTAACTGTTTCAGCATTTAAATTCTGCATGAGATCTACACGTACATGTCCATTTCATTCGAATAAAAGCCAGTCTATTCGATTGCATTTTGTCCTATACATGTAAGTATGATTTAATTTCATCATTTTGTAAAACGGTACAAAATATGAACTGAGCCTGGAAATAATGGCTACAACCTCCACACGCTGAAGACAGAAGTAAAATGAAAACACTTCACAACAGTTAAACTTTGAATGGACATCATACACACGTAGTCACATACTTGCACTTTTTTCTGATTTTCTGAAATTGACCAAGAATCTTTTTTAGACAGATGTGTACATACCCTTTTTGCCGTGTCTCTTCTTCATTCTATGCATCCATTCTAGAATCATCGAGCAATTTGATCTATGATATCCGATTGTACCAATCAAGTCACATACTTTGATGGAATGAAGACAGAAATGGAACATTGGAGCACAAGCTGATCTACATGTAGAACCTTTATTGTACAGCAAATCGATAGCGATATGCTGTTGAAATGCCGCAATCTTAAAGTGTATTCGGAATCGGAAATAGGTGTGGCATCAAGAGAAAAAAACAAATTGTGCTAATCTGCACTCGCTGAACGCAAGTTCGTCGACGAGCGTGAGCAAGACGAAATGACGTTGTAATAATTGAAGCAAAAGTCATACATGAATGTTGCAAAACGTGCAATATGCTGTCAACGCACAATGTTCATTATCAGAAAATAGGAGTGGCACATTGGCACGAGTAGCATTGCCGTGAGTAGCATCGCCGAATATGAATCAGAAGTTTTCACACAATCTTTAGATACCGGTATCCAGCGCATGTCCATCCCCTCAATTCTAACTTGCGATCTGGTATTGATATTTTTCCTGCGAGCTTTTAATATCGATTGTAAATCCAACAATACTGACCTCGTAAAATAAAAGTAACGGTTTTCTTGTCTAGCTTTACCATTCAAAGAAGTAATAAAGCATGGGTGAAACTAGACCTGGATCAATTCAATATGATATGAAGTATATATCCTAATGAATATGAAACATACACAAATTAAGGGAACATATAAGAATTGGCAATATATAGAAAACGCAACTTTTACTTCCTAGCGGTATTGCGCAATACACAGCCGATTAGTTTCAGACGATACAGCAGCCTGTCGCAATATGAAAATTCAAAACTGATTCCCCAAAGCAATTAGATTCTTACCCATAAAGCGACCATGTTCTTGCGATTGTAATCGCTCAAAGTCATGACGACGATTTGCTATGCTCCTCCGGTCGTCATCTTCCAAAGATTCAAGAGAATATCGGATCATTTAAATAAAGATCTACAACAAAGTAGGGCACACAGAAGTGCATAGACTGCATACAGTGCACACGATACCTCACAACCTTAGTATGTTATTCATAATAGGGGATTCACGACTGTGTGACATCATCATATATTGATATCGATAAGTGTAAACCATGAGATGAATTTCATTTCAAAACTACAAGACGAAAGCCATAGTGTGAGACTGAGCATCAACAAAAGATTAATCACAGCTCACTTCCTCATCATTTTTTCCTCCTCTCAAGTAGCGACGCTTACAAGAGGAACTCATGTTTCAGTTTCATAACTGTTAAGTATAAAAAAGCTGAATACTTGAGATATGACAATTAATATGATGAATTCACGCTTGTTTTGCTTTGCAAGAACCATCATCAGGCCTGTCTTCATCAGCTCGAGATTGCCAAATATCCCGATATTTGACCTATTCAGATCGCAAATTATCCAGTTAATTTGCGTCTTCCATCAGACCGAAGTTGCATTTATATATATTTGGTCAAGATAATCATCCCAAGATATCTTGGGCTAGTTTGCAAAATATCCTATTATTTGGCAAAATATCCTGCTACATGTTATCGGCCAGTGCGCCCGAAGACTCGCACTATGCGCGAAGGCTGCATGAGCAAAATATCTTAAGCTAATTTCTCAATTTCTCCTAGGTCAAGTCTCGAGCTGATGAAGACGCGATTTGTACTTTCGGCATTATTTCCAAAATCAAAAATAGCGGGCTATTTGGCAATCCCGAGCTGATGACGACAGGCCTATTGATTACGGCTGATGTCTAGTTTAGGTATGATGTCATTTTGTTTCTTAAAAGCATGCAGCTCTAATGACACTAGAATGCAAGCATTACACGATAACATTTACATACAGTTTATCTTATCATCATTTTTACAACACATGACAATTAATATGATGAATTCATGCTTGCTTTGCTTTGCAAGGACCATCATGGATTACAGCTAATGTCTAATTTAGGTATGATGTCATTTTGTTTCTTAAGCTCATGCACCTCTGATGACACTACATGTACAGTAGAATGCAAACATAGCCTTTAGTCTGTACACAATAACATTTACATTTCATTCGTTCGTGTCTCCTTAGATCAAGATTAATGTAATCTTGATCTTCGGAGTAGTTGCTACAACCGGCCGTGTCAGACACGTTGCCCCGGGGTGCGAGATAGGACTCTTGTAGCGTGCCCCCATTTAAAACAATTATACAATTACAGTTAACATTACATTTAATTAATAGTATGAAAATATTAAAATTACTCTCATGTTACGGGAAAAAATATTGCATATATATTATGAATCAATTGATTTGGTCGATCCAGTTCGATGGCAAAAACATGGCACTACTGGACAGAGATCCTAATAATTACAGAGCTTGGTCTTGTTGCTCTGTTCGCCAGCAGTTTAAGGATATGGAATCCCACGGCATTTACATTAGATGATTTACATATATCTTATAAATCAACATTCTTACTGCCAAGAGTGTATTATTGATTCTCATACATGTACATTTATATACTTTACAACCAGGGAAAAAAAATACTTTAAAAATTTCGGGGGCTACTTTTCTTTATTTTGTTTTGCATTGAACTCTATGCAAATGTGGGGGGCTCTTTTATGACTTTTGGGGGCTCTTTTTGGCATTTCGTGGGGCTAGTTCGCCCTGAGCCCCTGGGAATTTTTTCCCCCTGTGTACAACAGCATTACCTGTTTTTCCATAAGTCCATTAGGATTGGTACTGCTGTCTGAAAACTGTTCACAAAGGTACATTGTATGGTGTCATATACAGATGGCAACTAAATTATTCATATCCCTTGTAAACTTGATGTGTTTTTTCTTCAAGAATCAAAGTTGAATTAGGGCCTCTGTCTTATAATTGTAGATGTGAGCTTTACTACACGTATGTGACATTCTCAAGAAACTTAATGGG